ACATCGGGGCTATGCTATAGATCGACGGACGCACGGTCACATCGGGGAGGCGGTGTCGGAGTAGTGGGATGTCGGTCAACAGCACAGTGTCAGATGTGGGATCCCGACTATGACTTGTATTCCAACAGTCCCACAAGGATCATGTGTCTCCCCAATCCTCGCCGCATTCTTCACCTCCCCGTTGTGCAGAGCAGTAGCAGAGGAGACCATGGAAAAGCTGGCCGCAGACCCAGAGCTAAGCCCGCAACTCAACAAGGGACTAATAAAACTATTGCCGCTAACGCTATATGTAGACGACGGCTCACTGGCAGCATCAGCTCCATCAAGAGCCGAAGCGTCAAAAGTAGTTCAGCTGGCATTCACAGCAGCCCATGGCTGGCTGAGGAGGAGAGGACTCAAAACCGACCAAGTAAAGAACGACCTGATGCACTTCACCAAATCCAGGACCGGCAGAAATGCAGGCCCCGGCCCATCGATCACCATACCCACGAACGAGGAAGGCACAACCAGAACGATAAACCCCTCCAGCCCAATGAGATACTTAGGCATCTGGTTTGACCCACAACTCAAGTTCACCGAGCACATAAAGAAAACAGCCGCGAAGGCCACAAGCACGGCACAGGCACTGAGAATGCTGGGAAACTCAGAGAGAGGAATACACCAAACTCATCTGCGCCAGATGTATATAGGGGCCGTCCTCCCAATCGCCCTCTATGGGCTCCCTGTTTTCTGGCGCTCCAGACCCGGACTCATACTAAAGACTTTGTCCACCTTACAGAACAAGTGCCTCAGAATGCTAACTGGAGCATTCCGCACAACCAGCATCAATGCCATGGAAATAGAAGCATCCATCCCTCCCATTGACCTATACCTAGATTACAGGATGGAAATGGAGGCCACCAGACTCGCCCGCCTCCCCGATGACCACCCAGTCATCAATAGACTGTACCCACACCAAAGAAGATGCACCACCCCCTCCACCCCACCACCCCTCCCAGTCTTCGACCCCAGCAAAAGACACAAGGCAGACCCGAAAAAACGATTTTCCACCTGCATAACCTGGATCGCCAACAACATCATCTCAGGGACAGAAAGGATCAACCCCCTCCTTGAAAGCCCATGGGCCATCTCCGAACACGACATCTCCGAACGCATACAACTCTTTACCCCACCCAATAAACCCGGCGACTCAGTAAAACAGGAATGGGCGATGACCACTCGGCATTCACCACTGAATGCGAAGACGACCCAGACCTCCTCTTCGTATACTCGGACGGCTCCCGATACAAAGAAGATGGAAGGATCAAAACCGGCTATGGCACAGTAGGATATACCTGCGGAAAAGTCATATTCGAGGAAAAAGGTGCCATGGGAGAATACGTTGTAGGAGAAATAATATTCAAAGAATAAAACAATGATCTATCAGAATAGTCAACGAACAGGTGACAAGTTCAGACGTTTAACAGATCTCATGATCTTTATGAGACTGGACAGACATTAGATCATTATAAATTATCTACACCCATGTAGTATGAGATTTAATCTACTACAATCATGCCTAGAACTTGGCATAGGTGTAATATTCAAAGAATATAACCCTACAACAAGAAAATAGCACATAGACGGCAGAATAAGAAGGAACATTGGGAAAGAAATGTGAATATCTCGGGAACCAGTAAACTTTTGACTGTAATCTTTTTACCATCTGAAAGGACTGTTTCTTAACTTTATCCACGGTTTTGTTTCATTCTAAAAGCTTCAAAACTGACGGAGATATCGCTCAAACGGCGAAACACCTTATAATTCATATATATTTATTTGCTAATTCTTACAAAAAGTAATGTGACTCAAGGGAAATATAATGGCGCCCGGAAGTCTGGCGGATCGAATACCATATGATAGAGTATTCCCCGGCGCGGGCGGACAGTTTTTGATCGCATCAGAAGAGGAGAAAATGCTAAAAAACCGGATCTTGTATATTTTCCCATGATTCATCAAAACTTTTTGATTTTAAGCTCAAATAAATCGGAACAAAGGAATGATTGATGATCTGGATCTCGGATCATAAGCATGAAGTAATTCAGAAGTCCGCGGATCAGTTAATTAATTGGGAAGGCTCTAGAACATTAGTAATGATGTGGCTTCACAAAAAGGGGTCAATTAGAGAACAGTCTAGAAAGTTCCTTTATAGCCGAGTCATTTCTAAAGATAACCGTTCGTAATTAAGGCGGTGTAGAGCATAGCTTCAACGCTACAAGATCCCGCTGAGATCGGCCCAAAAGACAAAGAAATGAATTACTTATTGCTGAGTCATGTCCTAAGTCCATTATTAAGCTTACACAGCCCAAGCCCCTATATCATTCTAGAACTATCTATAATACAAATGTAGCACATGTAACTAGTGCGAGGCGTGGGAGTAGAGAGGCCTCTGAAAAGCATAAAAGGCCACCGCTTCTGCCCCCTCTCAAACCTCAGGTAGAAATAAAAGTTTAATTCTCCTCACCAGTGGTTGGTTCGTTTGCTCCAAAAGATAAAAGCAAATATTAGTTGTTAGCTAATATAAAACTAACACGTCACTCTAAGCGTGAGTTAGGGTCAGTTAGACACAGCTGAACAAAAGTGTCATAGTGAGAATTAGTGAGAATTTGGTGGAGGGACTTCTTAATTGAATAATCTCTCAGCAATACTTGGTTATCACACCACAGGAGAAAAGTGAGCGATCCTGAACCTGCTAGATAACTAGCATGCACTCTAAGCGATAGAAAGAGCAGTTTGGTCACTCCTGTATTGAGTAACATTTATTGCGGAATTATTTTATTAGCAGTTTTCCTTCAGTAAATTATCAGGAAAATCACATCCTACTGAAAAGTGGTAAATATAGGTGTAATATTGACTAGAAATCATAGTAAAGTCAATATAGAATTTTATCCGTAGACGATCTATACATCAGGTGAGATCGTTGGGGGGTGTTTATTGTTGTTTAGACAGTGAACAATCATATATTTGGCAACCAAAACACGGTCAGTACGCAAATCAGCACAAAACTCTAATATCGTTATTGGACGTAGGAAACTGGTTACATAAGGTGATCCAGCTCCGCTCCTTCAACGTGGAGGCCTATGACGCGGAAATGATGGGCCTAAAGACGGCTGCAGACAATATCAGACGAGCAATGGATGACGGTAACGTCACCAAAAAACCCACACACATTGTCATATACGCAGATAACACAGGGGCACTGAAACGCGTATTCCAAGGCAAACCACACAAAGCACAGGAGACGGCGAGAGAATACAGTATGCAAAATACTAACCGAATTCGAAGACGTCAAAATCGCGCTGCACTGGTGCCCAGGCCACTTCGGGATACCAGGCAACGAGAGAGCGGACCAACTAGCCAAGGAAGGTGCCCACCTAAGCCCAGCCCGGCCAAAATTCAAATCCCTATCTTACGTGGAAAGCCTACGCAAGAGAGAGATGAACGAAGAATGGACACACCGATGGGTGAACGCCCCAAACCCCCCGAGGTCAGGTTTCTACGAAGCGAACCAGTTCGCACCAAAACTCAAGCCCACCAAACGATTCCGCAACCTCGACAGAAAAACCTTCAGCCGAGTCCTCCAATTCCGAACAGGACACGCCCATATAGGCGAATACTATCACCAATTCGGCATCACAACGGAGAGTAGTGATTGCCAGTGCGGCAAACCCAGACAATCAAGGACCCACATCCTTGCGGAATGCCCCCGAACGAGCAGACACAGGCACCTACTAGGACGCGGCAACCAGACCAGGTTCAGAACCCTCGTAGGCAGAGTGAAAGGCGTAGAGAGACTCTCGTCCTTCATCAAAAAGTCCAGAACAGGCGACAAGCCCAGATCCAACAATCGACCCAGGGAAAGCATTGCGACTCCTGAGATAAGGGACTGTCACGGCTGTGCATTCCGGCCCGTTAGCCGCCCGTCCCGATGCCGCCCGAGCCCGTTACCGCTATGCGAGCGTGAGCGCGAGCCCCGACCTCAGCCCTATCCTCCCTGAGGACCCCCTGCTCACTCCCCCGCTTGCCCCTAGGCTCCCCTGCACCTGGCCGACTCCCCCACAGCCACACCAACCTTCCCGCCCTGAGTCCGCCTCCGGCACCGTGCCCAGCACGACTCCTCTACCCTGCCCACTTGGCCCCTACAGGGCCGCTACCATTCCCGCGCCCAACTCCGGCCCAACTCCGAGTCCAGCGCCACTATGATACCATCGCCGCTATCGTGGCCCTACGCTCTTTCCTTTATTTATCTGTTATTGTTTGTTTTGACCCTCGGTCATTGCCGGCCGCTATGCAGCCAACCCCGCTCCTTATCCTTGTTTGCTTCCGGACCCTTCGGCCTTCGGCCTGGGTCCGCTTCCATTCATTTCTTCCTCCTATATATCCTGTATACTACATTATAGTACTTTAGCTCTAATATCGATGTGACCACGACCCCTAAGTCCTGACCCCAACAAGGCAACCCCAGTGAGTCCGAAATGAGGGCCAAGAGACAGCTAGGGGGCACAGCACTCCCTTTAGAGTTGCTGAGGCCAAATGCCCTACCCCCAGGCCTTGTTCGCAGCATCATGGCCATCGCGGCCATAGCGGCCCACAACGGCGACCTTCGGTGCCGACCCCGGACCAGTGTCTAACAGGGACGCAGGTTAGACCAGGAAGCGCAACGGACTCAGTAAGGAAACACGACACAGCTGGAGAATGGAGATGGATGAAGGGAAGAGGCGATCGAGGTACTGAGGCGGGCAGGGTGAACAGACGGACGAGGGGATGAGAGCGTCAAAATTTTTCTTTCTTTATTTTCTTTTTATCTCTATTATCAACAACACGACAACACCCACAGATACCACAAACCCCGAGGATCACTATCACCCGACGATACCACCCAGACTACCCACACACTATGTATAGAAAGTCCCTCATGTACGCCACGGTGTACCGATGGGACAGCCGCACTGCCACGTCATCACGAGGCCGCGGGGTATTAAGATAGATTTATCATCATCATCATGCCTCCCAGCACTGATCGCGGTGATCTCTCGTGATTTCTCGCGCAACTTAGCCTGAATGGGTCAGGGGACGCTGCCTCAGACGTATGCTGGATGTTTCGGCGCTGATGCGCGAAGCGGACCATTCAGTGGAGGTACGTACTGAACTTTCGCTATTGAGGAGAGCACTCATTTGCTTTGGCCGTGCTTATAAAGGGACCCTGATGGCCCCCTTTTCTCCTCCCCCTATCGCCTGGTATCTCGCGCTCCCTCGGTGAGTGAGATCCAACTTGCCGCCTGTTTTTTCCGGGCTTACTCCTTTGACCCACTGCCGCTGCCGCTACCGACGCTCTGTTCTCCCTGAACTTGCTACTGCCAACACTTTTCCGCGGTGTGACTTCACTCCCGTTTGCCTCAGCTTTCAGCCCTCGCCTTTTCTTGTCTCCCACCTCCTCCCCGATACTCCTCCTTTTGGTACATTTTTTACATCGTCTTTGTACATTAGCTCTGTGTTGTATTTTGTTTTTCATGTTTCACTACTTCCGACTTGGCTCTTATGGTCACTCCCATTAACCTTCGTCTGTTTTCTTTTTCCTCTTTGTATGTACGAGCACGGGTCCGGGTCACGCGTCGCGCGCATGCTGCCAATTCCACCTGGCCCTTTGTGGCCGTTTCCCGCTACTAATGCCTGATAGCCCTGATTAGCCACTTTGAATATAGATACGCGCAGACGGACGTTCACAAGATTATCAGTTTTTGCCTAAGCTTACATCTGATCTCGCGAGTGTGGCCGCTGAGGTAGCGGATTGCCTTATACAGAATCCCTACATTATAAGACTTCTATCTCTTCTAATGGCTTGGCGACAGCAAAGGAGACCGATGATCACCATGTCAAGCACTCCCATCGCCTCAGGCGCTACAACCATCTCCGCAGGGGGTTTATTCTTCTTCTCGTTTCTGAAAATCTTGTCATATTTCGCCACGGATTTCCCTGAAGAGTTGAAAAGCTAGGATATCCAACGACGTTATGTGCGCACGGTTCAAAAATGAAAGATTAGAGCCATGAGTGTATCTCTTGTGACGGTAACTTACCTCGGGACTATCGAATAGCGTTTTCCACGTCCAATCGCCCGTCAGCGTAGGCATCGTATATCTGCTCAAAAAAGATAAATGTCATGTACCAGTGTTAGTTCACACCCCTTGCTTATCTTTCAACCCGAAGTGACTGACACTCACAGAGGGGATCCGTTCTTTGGCAAGACTTGCCTCAATTCTTTTGTCTCTCCACCAATGACAATCAGGTCTTTTCGAAACGTTCTCCATATCAAGGTAGCAACGTGTTCCTTCTTCCCGTTACTGCTGATCCTGTATATCGTGTTAGGTGGATCACCGGATTTCTCCGGGGTCTCGACAACGTAGAGAGGGGTTGGAGAGTTAAGGCCGGATGTGGAAGGAGAAAGAGAGATAGTTGTGTTTCGTACAGAGCGAGAAGAGAATGCCAGCAAGGTATGTGTTAAACCTGTCGTCTCTGTGTTTCGATGAGATACAGACATTGTGTGATTCCTGGCGGATTAGTAAGCCAATGAACGGATTCTTGGGGTCACAAGTTGCTCTATCCGGGTGGGACAGGGGGAGGGAATGAGGTGCGACAGGGCTACTTTCAGAGATTGCTCGAGGATTCCGAGGTGGGTGTGCGGGCAACTACATGGGTTGGGAGGGGAACTACCACAAGGTCTTATTTCCCCTTCTGCCTCTCCGATTTCAGTGAGGCGATGCCAATACAATCAGGACTAGAAGGGCCGCTTAGCACTCAACAAGGAGAACGGCCAGGAAGAAAGATGGCAGGGATTGAAGAGGTCGCCATTGTAGGGTTGAGAGGTCTAAAATTGAGAGGGATCGTGTCGGGGAGGATGGAGGGGAGGAGAGGGGATCAAAGACAATTAAAAGGGAATCTGCACAGAAGCAGGGGGAGTTCAGGACCATGGATTGGGTTGGATGACAAATGCGGGAATTTGGAAATGGCGGTGGGGCGGAAGAAAAAAAAGGGACCCTGGATAGGAAGGGAATTTGCAAGGGTTCGGGTGTGGTACTTACTTGGTACAAATCAAACCCCAAGCAGCCTGCTGGACAGCATTTTCAGCTGATGCACGGTCGTCCCGTCTCATTAGGTAGAAAGTAAGGAAAGGATACAACAAAAAAGGTTGAAAAGGGAACCCAAACCCAAATGGAGGGTTGCTGGCACGTAACTTTTCTCTCCCCCAAGTGGCTCGCCCGTGCCCTTCACCCTGGCATTTGTCTCTCATGGTTCGCGTTTTAAAGGGCCCCCTGGAACAAACGTTTCCCTAGGAACGGTAAATGGACGTAGGGTGTGGTATGTCTTCGTTGATCGTTGACACGAGTTGATGGGGCTGATCTTCCTGATGGTTTTTTCCTAAAGGGCTGCTATGGCCTCTCAGACGTAAGTGACATCGGTGTTTGTTGAACATATCCGTCCCGACGTGCGTGTGGTTCGCACTTGGAATGGCCGAAATGGTACGCAATCCCCATGATTGAGCGATGACATTCCCCCTACTCAACGCTCTCCTCAAGGAATTTGTATCACCTCAGTACAATGGTGGGATCCCTAATCGCCCAGTCTTTCTTCGTGAATCGTATTTGGGGCCGTGAGTTCCTGTGAGAATAAACGAGTTTTACTGTTCGTAACTTTGTCGCTAGTTTTTGGGAATATTTACATTGTTGGTGCGTTGATTGGCGCCTCCTCAAGTTAGCTCTGCAGCGATTACTTACCTGTTTCATAAACACAGCAAGCCCTTGTTATCACGCAGTTTGGTAAGTTTCCCTAACCCAAAACGTCCTACAGCAACGCACTGAGGGCTGGTTTGCTTGACAGCTTTTGCCACAAGTGGGTTCGGAGTTTGCTCCCTTCCAGAGTCCTCATTAGTCGCGTAATTCATTCTCAGCACTTGTGACTCTGGGGACACGTGTCATCACGCTTGCCATCGCGATTCCGGGCGATTTCATTGAAGGAAAATGATATGTCACTGTCATGTCATCGCCAGGTCACAGGTGGGATTGGCTAGCTACTGTTTGGCTAACGGTACAGGTATGTTATTCTCATATTCAACAGTCCTTCTACTTATCCGTGACTCGCCAGGCAACATGTGATGACGTTCCTGCTCTGGCACCGGAAGACTGGTTTCAAAAATGGGTTAATGACTGAAGTGTAGCATGTCAGGGCCAGACGGACTTCGTAATAGGGCAGACAGGGCCATCAACACGATGGTGTACTGATCTGTGGCCACGGGCAGTGTCGCCTTTGTTCAATCTCTTGTTACGATAGGCATCGTAAGCACAGGCTAAAGTTATCTCGCTCAGTGGAATGCATTAGGCCGACGCCATGGTTTCGCGTTCGGCGCTCTCCTATTCGTAATCATGAGTCCGTTCACACGGGTTCTTCGCACGTTTGGGATATTTACCAAAATGTTTTCAGACGCTCAGTCCCATGTACCCCATATCCATGCTCGCAAAGTAAAGCACATGCGATTTCTCTTGTCTCTGAACACACTCACTGATAGGATTCCTTGTGCCCCCGCTAGCTTACACATGCGGTCAACAGTACGAAAGCAGCTGTCTGCCCACACTTACTGAAGACAGACCAACTAACCTTTACGATCTGTTACTCACAGGAAGGTTATGGCTGCCCGTGGACGGAGGGAGCTCATAGAATTATCATCACGCCGACCTGTGAGTTCATTACACCTGACTGTGGCGGACATATATGGAAACTGACCACCATTACCTTGCAGAGGGGAAATCTCGTGGTGAACATTCGTCGCTCTATACACGAAGACAATCTCAGCAGTGTAAGCCCTCTCCCAAGTGCACTGTTCACATAACAAAGTTGGCAAGATGTTGTTTCGGGGCCTGTGAGAACAAAACGTCCACCGACTTGATCGTGATCAGTCAACTACCGGTGCCCCGACGTTGCGCAGTTCCGTTTGCCCCGATGTCGAATTTAGCACCCCAAGTAATACCGTCTCCCGTGCAATCAGGTTCCATGAACGGTGCCTTCAAAACTAGCCACTTCAGTCTTCATAATGCATTATCTCTGCTTTGCATATTCCGTCTCATGATTATTCGCGGGATATACCAATTTCACACGACTAATCGTGTCGGTGACGCGCTACCCCGCGTTTTTTGTGGGGGGGGGGGGGGCTGAATGTACATCCTGAAGAGTTATGAATCACGCTCGCGATCAGTCGGGTTGTTCTGTGCATTCATTTATCTCCAAACCATCGCGTTCGCGCTATGGTTTAATTGGTGAGCCACGACCTACCGCGACAGGGTCTTCAGACATGCGACAGTCTGCATTTTGCGATATGCTATCGCATTTGCGCGCCTACGAACTACTTATGTACCCTCGCTTCACTGCTGGGCTGTTAGCACTTCGCCCTTCCTGCTGTTTTCATGCCACCCCCAATCGCCTCCATGTACCTTCGTTGCTGTATTTTTCTTTTACCTCATTGACACAACCACGAAGTTATTTGCTGTCAAGGGGCCGAGGTCACTACGTTGCTTTTAATGCTCTTCTTTACATAGTGTGAGCCGGTCGGATCACTTGATTGCATTGGCCTTCTCACTGAATCCTGCCGATGAGATAAGATTAAGAATATCGGAGAGAAGCGGGATTCAGCCGGGATCCAGTTTTTGTATTACCTGTACCCGGATTGTATTCTGAGGGGATGCAAACCTCCAAGTTCAGGTCGGAATTAAACCACGATCGAGGGTTTGGTGTGGGTGGACCAAAATAGTGTATGGCAGTGCGTCTCCACTATTTTTGGCAATGACAACCACTAGGAGTCGAGCTTCGCTCAGCCTGGTGATAAGACGTAATGAATGAATAATTACACAGGAACGTTCACGTGAGGCGCTCAGGGATTGTACTCTTGACAGACGTCCAACTCCTCAACAAAAGCCCACTTTGTATAAAGGAGTCGCTCCCCCTCTTCTTTTCTTCTCCTCCCCTCAGCAGCCGCACATCACCGAACTCCCTCAACATGGTTGCCTCCTTCCACCTCGTTGCCACCCTCCTTGCTCTGGCTGCCGCCTTCTTATCCGTCTCCGCACAGACTATTCCGGCTTGCTCCCAGGCTTGTGCTGTCAATGCTACTCGTAGCGCAGGTTGCGGTGGATTGTGGGTGTTTCTCTTGTTCATCTACAACTCGTGCGATTCTGACAAGTAGATTTTTGGACCCACAGCACTAATCTCGGCGTTCGTCAACATTCCCTTCCTTATCATTAATTTTTCGTTGACCGGCGGTTACCCTCCCGTTGCGCGGATCCGACAGTGCGTTTGCAACAGGTGAGCTAGGGTCCCCCGTGTCATTTTGGTCAATAATCCCTCAACCGCCCTCACATAATACAGCAAGACTTTCTTCACTAACGCGGGCGTTTGCACCCTCGAAAACTGCGACTCGACGGAAATCGCCCAGGCTTTTGCTGCTCTGACAAAGCTTTGCAGTAGTTGTACGTGAACGAACAAACACACCTTTGCATTACCGCTGATCATGACTTCTACGTCCCTAGACGCGACTACTACATACACCCTTCCGGCCAGTCTTACCTCTACTATCTCGATTCGGACTGTAGCCAGCACCACCACCAGCACAAGCGCCATCACCTCTTCCAGCGGTGGTGGTGCTGTGAGTTTCTCTAGTTCTGGCTCTGCACCCACGACTTCCACTTCCTCCCGCTCGAGCAAGTCTGGAGCCGCCGTACCAGGCGCCAAGGTCACGTTTGGTAGCAGCTCTACCCTTGTGTCATTTTTGGAGGTGTCCTATTCGGCGCTTTTGCTGTTGGTTGTAAGATGCGTGATTTATCAATCCTGAACGATTTGGCGAGAAAGTCTGCGCCCTTTATCTATCATTGTACGCTGCGACTTGGACATTCTATACCCTTGTTTGCATTTGGGTCCATAGAAGTGTCTTATCTAAGGAATATGACCTTGCACATTCGGACCATGTACGATTTCTTGTTTCTTACCGCCCGATGTGCGAACCGAACTGCTGTTGCGCTGAAGCAAATTGAATTTAGTTGAGGGTCGTGTCACGTGGTGTTAGGTCTCACGTTTTCCTCGCTGGCATCGTCATTCATCGTGTTTGAGTACTCTTGAGGTCTGCAGGGGCCTCCTTCACGAACGTGCTGGTCTTGCCAGTGGGACCTTATTTGTGATATTCTAACTAGGGGTTCTCGCACACTTCAGGTTCGCTCCGCTCCCATAGAAATTTTTTGGCTATGTCGAGCTACACTCCTTCCAAGAAGCGTTCGTCCTTTGATTCTGAGCAACAGGAAAATCAAAGGGGAAAACATCATTCGTCTAATTCGTTTCAATACGCGTCTAGTCACTCTGGTACCAATGCTTATAATAGGCATGCTCAGGGGAACGGTTCAACTCGAGTTTCCTTTGCTGCTGCTGCTGCCGATTCGAATGGCCATAACCCGTTTGGTGAAGATAATGTTAATGTGGATGAACCTACGAGGGGCGTAAACGATACTACACTTCGAGATTATTCGCCTCGGAACGTAGGTCCTCCACCTAGGCGAATGGGTTATCCTACTCCTCCGAATGGAACTGCCATTTCTCCACCTCAACGATCTTTTACTGATCCTCATTCTCCCCAACACCTGAGCCGTCATCCTCAGTATCGCCATATACGCAAAGGTACAGAATCCCCACCTGCCTCATCATACTTCACATCCCCTACGTTCGACGGGAACTTGACGCTTCACGATGAAGCTCACATGCATTGGAACCTACTTCTTCAGATATGGCTTCTCATTTTAGCTTTAGTACCACTCTTCGTCGTCATACTCAGGATACATATGGAGGAGTAGGAGTAGGAGGCGGAGGCGGAGGCGGAGGAGGAGGTTTCAGCCCTCTTGGGAACGTTGTGCACAGTATCCAATCGAGAGCCGAACGATTTACTGCGAGTGGTGGGACTGGGATCATACCCTTCCTTCGAATGGAATTCTGCGACGGACGGCTGGTGCGCTTGGATTGGGGAGGTTTTTGGATGATGCTGGTGGGGAGGGAAGGGAATTGAGATGGAGAGTTTTGGATATGCTGGGAAGGAGGACCGGAACCGCTTTCGTCGCAATTTGCACACCGGACCGTTGAGGTATGTGCACATACATCCGCACATCCACCGTCGGTCCTTCATGCACATAATCCTCTTTTCTTTTCTCCTAAAGGATACTCTTCAACATTTCCGCGTCGACCCTTCAACAGGTCTCGCTTCCTCTGTCGTGCCTGATCTCAGGAACGTTCATGGCTACAACGAATTCTCTGTTGCTCCCTCAGTCAACCTAGCCCACAAGTTCATAGAGACCATCTATGAAAGTCCCTTGAACTTACTTTTGTTGGGGAGCGCATTCATCAGTGCGGTTATGGGAAATATTGACGATGCTGTTAGCATCACTATTGCTCTACTCATTGTTCTTACAGGTAAGTAAAATGCAAATTTTCCTTTCCTTCCTTTTGTCTTTTTCTTTAAGGTCCTGGTCCGGCCTCTCTCTCTCTCTCATATTTTTTTACGTCTCATTGAAGGTTGAAATTCATCCTCCTTATAGTGGGTTTCGTGCAAGAACGAAGATCAGAACAATCGTTGCAAGCACTCAATCGTCTCGTACCTCATCACTGTCATCTACTACGGTAAGATTCATCTTCACCTTGTTTCCAACTGATCATTGACAAACACACTTTTTTTTTTTTCTTCTCAGTGACTCGCGGCAAAAGACCGTCCTCGCGAATGAACTTCTACCAGGGGATATCGTCTCCTTCACAGTTGGGGATCGAATACCTTCGGATGTTCGCTTGATCACTGCGTTGGATCTTGAATTGGACGAGTCGTCACTTACGGGTGAATCTCATGCTGTTCGGAAAGCAGTTGAGCCTTCGAGGTTTGGGGCTCCGTTGGGCGAACGGACGTCGATGGCTTTTATGGGTACTTTAGTTAGGAATGGTACGTCATTGTCTCCGTGTCTCTGTGATACATAATGATTGGTGGACGCTACGCGACGATGCTTTCTTTCTTCGGATTGTGTTTTAGGACGTGGGGCAGGAGTTACGATTGCTACGGGCCAGCAGACTGAGTTTGGCGCCATTTTCACTACGATGCAAGAAGTTCGTGCAGACATCTCGCGTGGCGCTCAGTTAGAACCTAATGCTCATGGTGATGGTGGCTTTTCTGTGTAGATCGAGGAGAAACGGACGCCATTGCAAATCTCGATGGACGAGCTGGCGACGAAGCTTAGTACTCTGTCGTTCGCGATCATAGGCGTCATTTGCCTCATTGGTGTGATTCAAAGTCGGGGATGGTTGGAAATGTTTACTATTGGAGGTTCGTCTATGTCTTCACTTCTTGGATAAGATTAAGATCTTGAACGAGAATTGTGAATACGCATAGTGTCTTTGGCTGTTGCTGCGATCCCGGAAGGTCTTCCTATCGTGACTACGGTAACTCTTGCTTTAGGTGTACTTCGCATGGCACGACGAAAAGCTATAGTGAAGAAGTTACCATCTGTAGAAGCGCTGGGGTCCGTCAGTGTCATTTGTTGCGACAAAACCGGTACATCACACCCATGTTCTTGCCTGAGTTCATTTATTAACTTCACGGGGACTCATACCGTCCCTTCGTAGGCACCCTAACAAAGAACGAACAGACTGTTACTGAGATTTACACTATCGACGAATTGGTGAAACTTGATGCTCCCGTCATACCTGCATACACGCCTGCACTCTTGAAGACGGTTCAGATCGGCGCGTTGTGTAACAGTGCTATTCGTAACAGCGAAGGCGTATACGTTGGCCAAAGCACAGACGTTGCACTCATGAATGTCCTGGATACCTTGCAGGTACCCTCCTCTAAGGTGGTTCGTACGGTTTTAGTTCTCGCATTACACGCTTTGAAACGCCTCAAACGGAACCTTTCATTAGGATTTCAGCGTATCAGCAGAGCGACCCTTCAACTCCGAGCTGAAATCTATGGCTGTAAGCGGCAAGCATGCCTCGGAATCGCAGGAAAAGTACTACATCAAGGGTGCACTTGAGGCGATACTGCCTCGGTGTAAATGGCACTACATCTCTTCGGATGTCACACCTGAACTCGACACTCTCACTCGTTCCTTGATCGTTTCAAAGGCAGAGTCGGTCTCTTCACGAGGACTTCGGGTAATTGTGATGGCTTATGGGAAGGGAAGCGTGTCGTCGCTGGAAGCTGAGGGAACATAGGAGAACAGAACCTTGTCTTTGCCGGATTTCAAGCTATGATGGATCCTCCGCGAAGGGAAGTCTCGGATTCTATCGCTTCGTTGCGCATGGGGGGTGTACAGGTGATCATGATCACGGGTGATGCGGTCGAAACCGCACTTGCGATCGCTCGTCAGTTGGGTCTTTTGGTACAAGGAGTTCGACGCATGGAGGATCTTCCTCTTATGTTAATGGGGATCCGGTGAGGAAGGGGACGATGAGCTTTGTTGGCTGTCTTACGGGGAAGGAGATGGATGAGATGGATGATCGGATGTTGAGGGAGCGTGTAGCGGGGATTACGGTATTTGCGCGTACGACGCCTAGGCATAAGATGCGCATTGTTTCGGCTTTCCAGTCTCGAGGGGCGGTGGTGGCTATGACGGGTGATGGAGGTATACTTTCTTTTGTTTCTTTTCTCGCATGTGATGGGAGTTTAACGTTAGCGTTGCGCTTCCTTTCTTTCGTGCTAGTCAACGATGCACCGGCATTGAAGATGGCGGACATTGGTGTCGCAATGGGAAGCGGAACTGATGTTGCCAAAGAGGCAGCGGACGTTATCCTTGTTGACGATAATTTTGGGACCATCCTGGCGGCCGTCGAGGAGGGTGCGTGGTTATCCCGAAGAAATTAAATATGCTAATCGTTTTTCGTGCGTAGGTAAATCCATCTTCCATAATATTCAGCACTTCCTTTCGTTCCAACTTAGCACGGCAGTGTCGGCTCTCACACTCATCACCCTTAGCACTCTATTCGAACTTAGCAATCCGTTAAATGCCATGCAAATACTTTTATCAACATTTTGATGGATGGTAAGATACAAATATCATTCATGTGTCTTTCCTACTCAACATTGGTTTGCTCAATAGGACCCCCAAGCCAATCTCTAGGTGTTGATCCTGCCGACCGAGCAGTCATGCGGAGACCTCCTAGACCAAAAAATGCGCCCATTATCACTAGGCCTCTCATCTTAAGGGTGCTGTTCTCCGCATCTGTGATGTTACTCCTTACTCTGTTCGTCTATATGTACGAGCTCAGCGACGGAAAGATGTCTCGCCGTGACCAGACCATGGTTAGTGTAGCCAACAGAAGCTTTCTAATATTTATAATTGAAGGACACCCCTTTTTTTCGTTTCGCAAAGACCTTCACATGCTTCGTTTTCCTTGACCTTGCATCAGCGATTCAAAACCGTGGTTTGGGATGCGGTATCACACAGAACAAAATGCTCCTCACAACCGTCTCTACGTCGTTCCTCGTCCAACTCGCTCTCATCTACGTTCCTTTGTTCCAAAGCATTTTCCAAACTGAAGCGCTCGACTCTCATGATATCTTTGTCCTTTTGACGCTTGCTGGGGTTGCATTGGCGCTTCACGAAGCTCGGAGACGATGGGAGCGACAGAAGAATAAGGAGCCGGGGTGGGATCATGCGAATGACTTGGCTTGAACTAGAAAAAAATTCAGAACATTGGACATCCCGCGGGACAACTTATATTTTAGGACTTCATTTTTATACAACACCCTATATACCAATATGGCAAGGAACCCGAAATGATGAAAACATGCCGGGACGATCGATTGTTAGATCGTCATACCCACATCAGAAGAAATTCCGTATCTGAGCACCACATGCAGGCGCATTGTTCGGGTGGCCAAGCCGGCAAGCGTCGTTTGTCTTGTCACGAATAGTGCCTGTATCACAAGAGGTACAAGTAGCCGCATTGTGTTCTTATAATTAGACAACGCATTAATTTGAGAACGCTGTTTTATCTGTCGTTGACGAAATTCGTGCGCGCCCGTACTGTACATGCTAACATAAAAATAGAATAAATAAATAAATAAATAAATAAATAAAAAAACTGTAGCACTCGGGATTCCCATGTAGTCCCCTACCACGGTACTAACTGAGCGGTACTCGGCTTAACTTCGCAGATCAGACGGGATGCGGTGCTTTCCGAGTCCTATGGCCACAGACACGTACCTTCCCAGCCCCACGTCTGATGAATATCATACATTAGTACCGCTCGAAGTCGACCACAGATACACAGACAAAAAACGCATATATGGGTCATGGGCAAGGCTGTCCTGTTGTTAATTCGTTAATGGATAGCGTTGGTGCAAGTCTTCAGGCCAGCTGGGACGAAGAACTAGAATCCGAACGGAGAGAGATAGAACGGTGCCGTGTTACATAAACGTTATCATTCTGTTTACACAACCAGGGCGACGAACGTTCTAGTTCTCAAGCTTCGAATGATTTATAAGGCCAGGGGGGCTTCGGCTGGTCTTCTCTATCTGATACTGTCTCTGTGTTGTGGCGAGATTGGACTATGTAGGTCTCTGGTGGTACTGGGTCTCAACAGTGGTATGTGATTGGCTTCCTGATCTTGGCATGTTTGGGGTGTTCGACTTGACGGTCTGACTGGCGACCCAGTTCTTTTTCTGTTTCATGTTGTGCGTCAGAGTGCTATGCCCCAGGATATTTAGCAGGGGACATGCGGGGGAGATATGGTATCAAGGCAGAACACGGCTCGAATCATTTTCTCCGGTGTGGCAGGGCCCGATCTGATAATTTCAAATATTTTCGTCCCTAAAGAATTCCAAAAACCCACCCAGATTGTGTCTCGAATTCGCACGGAATGTCTAGTCATTGTACGTACCATCGCGCCCCCATGAAATGGTTGCGAATTTGGGGCCCACCCTGTGATGTGGGCGCTGGCATTCTAGCCCGCTTAGAGACAACTACGGTATGGATTACGGGAGTCGCCCATTCGGAGTTGGGTGTTTGCGGGGCTGGATTGAAGGGAGGCTTCCAGTCGAAGATGGCGAGTGAGCGTGGCCAGACTTGGGTCGGATATCGCGTACCCGACCCCATAATACCCAGGTTCATCAGAATCAATCCACCATACAATTTATCGAATCAATCACGAGATGAGGCCAGCATAGAAGGCAGAGGATTTGAGCCCCCTCTATCGTTCCACCTCCCAAACAATGTTCCACCCGATTCTCTGACATGTCCATCTCCAACGAAAACGGGGAGGTTCAATTGAACAATCCCAAGCCTTCAGGACAGACAGGATAGAGATACTAGTAGATTACATAGTTTGAAGGAGACAAGACAGGTCCTATAACAGCAGCAGATGAAAAGAGAGAATAATCGAGGCGACGTTCGTTTACCACCCACAAGCTCGCGTGTGTGGCTAACTCCCCATATATCTTAGTATCGATGTACATCGCGTACATGTGTCATATGGTCTAGTGATTGCCGTCTTGGGCATTGCTTGGACATCGATCACTGTGGTTGCGCTTCCAGTTTGTGGCAGTGCATCCCGACATGTCTATTTCCAAGGCTGAGGAATCGTTCTTACGAACATCAATCCTTTCAACCCCACCGAGCCGAGCCGATGGACGGCTACTGAACGAATTTAGAATGATAGCTGTCAATCGGGAGGCGGTATTGTACCTCTTGCTAATGGTAGTGGACGCGTCAATCTTGGAGGGACCGATGTCATTGCTGCGGTCAAACTAGAAGTCGAAAACATTGGTCCCACAGGGGACGGTGCAGAAGGGGAAGGAAGAGATGGGGGGAGGGTTGCCTGCGCGATAATATGGTGAATTTTTCAATAATTGGTCCTCTTGTGGCATTTGACACGAACTTTGTTGATAGTGCACAGTCAGCGTACCCTCACAAATCTCCACAAGCCTTGGACGAGGCGTCCGCAGATCTGACAGCTTTATTTACCCCTATCCTCGCTTCCTCCCTCACACCGTCCTCTCAACTCACCATTGTGCCGCACAAAAGAAGTTGGCTCCTCGGAATTGAGGCGATCATTCTCGCCGATGACGGGAATGCTATAGACGCAGTTATGGTTGCAATACGAGCTGCCTTATGGGATCTTCGTATTCCACGGACGAAGGGGGTGCAGTATGTTTCAAGACCAACCTACTCCGGGACGTACACAGCGTCTGCCGATGCAATAAAGGGAATATTAACAGAAGGGAAACGTGTCGATCCTGCCGACTTCGAGTTGGAAGACTCATATGACGAGGGAAACCCGCTTGAAAGGAGGGATGAGTTACCTGTGTGCGTCACCTTGAATCTGGTAAACTATTTAGAAGTGGAAAGCTTTTTCAAAAAACTGCGTGCTGATATGACTGCATAGATTGGATCGACGTACTTCCTTGATGCATCTGCTAGAGAAGCCGATGGTGTGCAGGACAGGCTTTCCTTGTTCTATTCCTTCTCTAAATCGGCTTCACTCAACGGAGTTTCTCACGGGATGCATTACTCTGGACCCAGTGAGCTCAAGTTTGGGGACGTTGGTCCTTTAATACAGGTGTGGTATCCCGTTTTGAGTTTTTCCGGCTCAATGTTACTGATGTCCTTGGGCCAGTCAGGGGAAAAACATGCTAGCGAACTGTCAGCAGCTCTTAATTCTATGTTCAGAGCTGAGGACGTTAAAAATGCGGCTGCTTTGCGACGGTGACCTTTTAGTTCGTTGTGTTTGCCCTGGTAGCGTGTTCTGCGTTTAACTCATCCTCCATCTCCCAGACAGGAGCACAGTATGATGCGCTTTAAAATACCCTTTCGGAGAGTCTCGTGGAAGTTCCTTCTTGCTCTTGCACCAGGGGACTGTAGCCGTGACTTCGGTCAACTTTCCGTGACGTTATATGTTATGCCTTACACACTTAAGTACATCTCGCACGTCTGAACGAGAAGAGTGGCCAGGACGCGTGCCTCCGTGCAATGACAGCCATTACTGTCGCTCTGAGGGTCCTGTTCAATACACCTTAGTCCACTTTGTCACTGGCTATCGTCCGATGAAATATCAACCTTCATCTACGTCTGCTGAGTAACTACGGATACTGTATGGAGACTTTGGGTAACTCGAGACTGCCAAGGCGATACCATTTCTGATTTCTATCGTACTTTCGTATACACGTTGTATTCCGTGTCATAGTCAGCGCACCTAGGTCAAGAGTCACGATGATGTATCTAATGTTACGGAGTTATAAAGGCTGGAGTCCAAACGCCAACGTAGCTAAGCGCTCGGCGTCAAAATTGACACGTGATTTTCTTGGGGACCCTCCAATTGCCTTTGACGTTATGGTATGTCTTCAACACAACTTGTCCCCGTACTTCGCCTCAAAATGTTCCACAGACGAAAGCAAAAAAGACGCGGAAGTTCGCTGTAGCGAAGAAAGTGCTGAAGCCTTCTGATTCTCGATTGCAAGTCAACCCAAGTTTTCACCTCCAGTCGCAACTTTATCCACTAAACCCTCCTATTCATAGGAAGGAAAACAAGGCGAAGGAGGCGCAGAGGCTGAAAGAAGCCCAAGAAAAGGCTGTGAGACGCGCGTAAGTCCCTTTAAATTCTGAAGAAAGAAAAATGACGAAACGCGGCGTACAGGCCCCAAGTCGCATCGTCACTCTTCCTGAATCACAATGAGGCCCTTGCACCACCATATCGCGTTCTTATCGATACCAACTTTATCAACTTTAGTATGCAGAGCAAAATTGAGCTCATTCAAGGGATGATGGATTGCCTGTATGCTAAGTGTAAGCTGTCTCTTCTCACAAAAAAGAAAACACTTTGGATCGTGCCGTGCTCATGAGTGTACTGTTTCGTTAGGTATACCATGCGTCACAGATTGCGTGATGGCTGAATTGGAGAAGTTGGGCGCAAGGTTCAGACTATCACTTCGGTACGAAAAGCTTCAGAAAACCAGCCAAGGTACCTTCAACCTCATTAGCCCATAGCGTTGCCCGTGATCCTCGTTTTGAGCGCTTGCCATGTTCCCATAAGGGAACATACGCGGATGACTGTCTTATTCAGCGAGTTGCGGCTCATAGGTGCTTTATCGTTGCTACCTGTGATCGGGACCTCCGACGGCGAGTTAGAAAGATTCCAGGTGTGCCCCTAATGTACATTGTGAGGAAGAAGTTTGCTATCGAACGACTTCCGGACCAAGGCGCTCCGTCGTAATCCTCTTCCTGCTCAGATCGCTCATTAATTTGGAACATATAATATTCATATTTTACGCAGTAGCATTCACGGCCATTGCAATCGGTCATCTTTTGTCAAGCATTCATGGAATCCTGATGTCATGATATATGTTACTTTGGAATAGAGGAAGGAGCGAAAAAATTACAATACAGTGGAGAGCAGTATGAATATCGGGGGAAGAAAGGTCTCAAACGTTAAACCAGCCTATGAGGCAGAGAATCCACACTTGGCCCCAGTATGGTACAGGTTCATATCAAACATTAAAAAAAAGCTGTATCAGTATCTTCACCATTGTCGTCCTCTCGCTCCCCGTCCAGCCATATTAAATGGGGGGCCTTCTGACGATACCCTGGAAGGAGGTCCAGGTCGGTGGAGAGGAGCGGTTCTGAACCGATCATTTGAATGAGGCGCTGGCAGTGGTTGGGTTGGCGTCATCCGACCAGAGGCACTTGTCCCCATGGAATCGAAGGTGCTCGAATGTCGGATGTGCTGTGGCGGGTGTTGTATTTGAGGATCTGGCTGGAGAAGCGGTAGGCTATCGGTGGTACCCGTGTAATCCAGTCTATTGAGTTCAATGTGGCTGCCAGGCCCACGTTCCATGTAACCCTTCAAATCAGCACTACGCATCCGAGGAGTATGGCCAGGGGCACCAGCGGGGCCCGCGTCGCCCAGCAGCATGTTCGAATTAATACTGCGAGCATCCCAGTCTTGCTCCCCGCGATCGCGTTGGTACAGCGCAGGATCATATTCGAGATCGCTCTGAAAAGGGAACAAGGAGTCAGCAACAGTACAAACGTAGGACGAACGCAACGCAGCATGGCTTTACCTGCTCGATACCAGCGATCTTGAGTCCACCGGAAACCACGGCGGCAGAAGCCTTTTCGCCACCGAACTCTTGTAACCCAGTTTCCTCCTGACTCAGCCTGCCGCTGTACACCTGCGGTAACAGGTGTACCATCTTGGCATGCACCATCGGCGTAAAGAGGTCAGCATGCAACGCGGGATGCCCAAAGCGTTTCGAGAGTCGACCACCCTTGTTGTCATTTCGCTCCCTTTCACTAGTGAGTTTGTTCTCAGCGAGTTCTTGCTCGGTGGGAATGTACCAGCGAAATTCTTCGTTGAAAACTTTTAATGACCAAACTTTGAAGAAAGCAACCATGAACATTGGGGGAATGCACGCCACCCATAGGTAGCTTCTCCAGCCATGAACCAAGCCAATGGCTACCAGGAAAGCGGTAAACAACCATAGTCGAATAGTACCGAAGGGGACTAAAAATGACGTACTCAGTGTCATCATCAGGTGCATGAAGATAGTGGAAAACAGCAGTCGATTGATCGCGACGTTCCATAATCGCTATCATTTGGAGCCTTGGCATCAACAACCAATCTCGAACATAAGCAAACAGACACTTACACCACCGGATTCGGCCTTAGAAATGAAGACGAACATGAGTTGATACTTGGACGTTATGGAGGTGATCCAGAAGACTACAGCCGCCATAACCGCGACTAGGGGTGCCAAAGGCGCATAAACGAATGCGACTGCTCCCATAAATAGCTATGACCTATGTGAGTATGATGAATCTTGATTCAGTAAGGTCCTTGCGTACCAATGACGAACTATCGGCATAGTATTAGACAGATCAACATTCTTGCACATCGAATAGCCCACGCCGTAAACTTACTAGTAGATTGCAAATTCAAAAACCTGAGGTTGCGTCCATTCCCGGATGTCACGAGGAGTACGACCAAACATACTTTCGAAAAATTGAGCCTGTGAGGGGGGCGTTGAGAATATGGAAAAAAAGACACGTACCGGGTCTTGAGCGTAATCCAGACCAGATTCAAGAGTTGTGCCAGATCAAAAAACGCCAGGAAACCTCTTAATGGGAAAAACGTCAACCAGTAAGCTGACTGCTGGATGTAAGTATTTTGAATCTGGCCAGGCAGCTCTGCACAAAAAGAATGAATGTCACACCAAAATGTGAAGATGCAAAGCGTTGAACTTACTGCTGACGTTTTTGATGATCTCTGCGAACGTCTTGTGTTGTCCAATCTCAAGAATGATGAGCGACACCGATTCTATAGCCATAAACGCGTCAATACTGGAGACGAGGGGGGGGATCTGGAGGGATCTGCTCACGATAGGCAACACCGATGATCGTGAAGATGAACAACTGAGAGATAATCAAGAAGCCATAATAACGCGCAATAACGGCACGATCCAAGCGAGAACGCGTGAGCTAGGAAAGAAGATCAAGGTTATGCACGCTTGCTCTCCAACGAGGAATATCCAACGTACATCTCCTTGATACTTCGACAACCTTCGCATGATCTTAGGTAAAAAGAAGCCAAAGAACGCAGAAATCGCTGGAGGCAATACACCTGTGTGGTATATCATATATGATTTCAGATTTTCGCCCATAGAATCACCTTCCACCGCTACCCACCACTAACGACACTGAAGGTCCACTGGCTCTTCTGAGACCAGGACTGGAGCAGAGGAACATAAGCTTGCACCTATCCGAACAATCCTCGTCAGTCAACTTGGTCCACGCACTGGAAAACGAGAAAAGAAGCCTACGTATGTCAAGTTGGCGAGGAATGAGATGATCGTGAGCGGGATCGTGTTGAAGAAGCACACAAGACATAACAATAAGAAGCCTATGGTACGGTCTCTGGCACGGGAGGCATCCGACTTGACGAGATTCTTCCAAATCTACAAGCGGAAATGCCCCGTTCAAGCTTTAGCCGACGGTGAGTGGGAATGATACGACAAGACGTACAATGTCCTTGGGATTGGGGGCTAGAGTGATTACTGCACCCTTCTTTTTCTTTTGGTGCACCACCTTGGCGACGGTATGAGCGTAAGCAACGGAAGCCATTGAGGCGAACCCTGGATGGAGCGGGAAAAAAGAAAAGAAACACTTCGATGAGACAAGGTGAGGAAAAAACTCCTCTAGAAATGCACATGCCATAGCTTTCAGCCTTCTTCAGATCAATTTTTGATCTCGAATCCTCAACAGCTGCCTCAATGTTCCTGATGCGATTGCTAAAAAAAAAAAACACAGTCAAGCACGAAAAAAAAAAAATTGACACTGTAACAATGAGTGACACACGTGTAAAAGTTAATTGCATCTACTTTCTTCCCACCAATGCCAAGAAATCCTCCATCAGTGATCGTAGGGCGTTTCTTGCCCACCGTCCCATCCTTCAAATAAGTTACGAGCACCTGCTCCAAATCCTTCACCGCCTGGTTATGCAACTCGACCAACTCAGGCAGCTGGCCAACCCTCCGTCCAATGTGCACGGCCGTCGTAGGATATGGAACTCGTAAAGAATCGAAAAGGGATTGCAACCCTGCATCCGATTGGAGTTTCTTGGGTACTTTCAGTACCATGAGAGTTCGAGCATAGAAAGATTTCTTGTACTCATCCGAACGGAACCATTGGTGTCTAAGACGAATGATTGCCTTCCAATGGTACCATGCAAAGCCAAGGACAATGATAGCTAGATGTGGAGGGGTTGGAATTGGAATTGATGAGTCAAAATAGGATGTGAGAAAAAAGAAGGGAATTGCTCAACTGATGATGTACATCACCGCCACATGGACAAACAGCAAATCACCCCTCACATCTTGAACAGTCATCATAGTCAATATTGTAGCATTCTTTACGTTATGACGAAGATTGTACGAGATATTGATGGGAACGAGAACCACGACGGTGAGAGCGGCGATGGCCGTGAAGAGCCAACGGAGCATGCGTAGGAAGCGGAGATACGTGACGGCATCAAGGCCTATCTTCTCAAGAAGTTCAGGCTCTTTGGTGTGTAAGAGTGGAGGTAGCCATGCGAAGAAACCGTTTTTGATCCTGGGTGGTTGCTTCTGACCCACATAGTACTTGACCTAAGCAGCACAAGATCGAAGTGGTCCGTGTTGATGTAGGGGGGGGGTGGATTAAGATAATATGATACGGCTTAGTCAACGCGATGTACCTTTGGTTCATAGACCATCTGATGTAGTTGTATTGCGAGATTTTCAGTGAGCACGAACAGGAGCAACGACAACCAAAGCCACAACGTACCCGGTTCCTAGGGCGCAAATATTGAACATAAAGATCGTCCAAGCTATCAAGAAGTTCACATATGAACATAGATTCTAAGTTCTCGAGGTCCGGACATACTGAAAGCCCTAGCATGATTGCCAAGTTGGACACAACGGCTTTGGCACCGATGCTTTTGTTGGCATCGGCAATCTGTTGAGCGATAGACCCAATGGGGTCGGTATTGTTGCCCGACATAGTAGTAAAGTGAAGTGGTCAAATCTCCCAAAATATACGAAGATTGAAGAAGTTATCGAGAAAGGAAGAAAGAAAAAAAACGACAGTTGGCAAGGGAGGTGGCCAGGAAACCGGAAACGTGTTCTAGGATATTTTGTTGCCAATGGGGAATGCTGAGATGGTGGATGAGGCCCGAGACAGTACTCGCGTCAAGCGGGAGCGGGCAGAGAGCAACAGAGGGCGGCGATGACAATAAGGACAGTTACTGTGGTAAAAGATGGGGAGTTAGTTGGTGGTTGTTTACGCGAATCTCTTTGTTACGTGTCTGACAACCAAAGTGATCATGTGCGGGTCCAGGCCCGGCCAAATGTATTGAATCTGCCCTATTCATTCCCCGCCGCTGACCTGGCAACGACACCTTGATGTTGCCTTGATGGATGTCAGCAATAGCCATCTCATCACCCCTGGTTGTACGCTTGGCGCTTCGCAGCCGAGGCAGAACCAACAAACATTTTTTTGGCAGCATTAGATGTACTGATGATCATCGAGTGAAATGTTTCTTTGGATATTCAAAATCATTGAAGTCGCTCTCCACGCCCTGACAACGCCGACGATCAACTGCCCATTATGGCTTGTAGCAACGTATGCGCCTCCCGACTACATGTCAAGTCCTGGATTTTCCTGGAATAAGGCAGGAACCTGACCCTTCTGGAGGGATCCTCACCCCTGCCGCCTCCCGAATGAAAAGCGTTTGACGAGATTGTCGTCCATCTTTCCTCAAATCGATCCGCCACCAGACGTCCAAGTACAGGAAGGAACTGGAGACAACCACCAAACAACGGTCGGTAAGTAGAATGATAACGGGTGCGAGGGCACAGGGGGAGGGCCAGCCGCCACTCGCTTGCGACACCCACCTTGTATCCATGTCCAGAACCGCCTGTCGCGAACATTAATCCCTTTCTCTTTGGATGCCAATCAATGATCCAGTTGGCGTCGGGTGTGTCCGTGTACCAGCATAGCCTCGTCCCTTTGAACGGTTTGGCGCCTAGCTCGGGAAGAATGGCGGTTAGACATTGTCGATGCTGATCAGAGAGGTGATGAGGGATAGCCAAGTGTGTCCCGGGGCACAGTGGGGTTGTTCGTGGTGTTGGGACAGTTGGCGAACTGGGAGTGTTCGAGGGGGCAGAGGCGAGGGGTTGGGAGTCAACAAAACCAGAGTTATGGAAAGCCATCTTCACAATGTTATCGTGGTTGGGCTAAACAAAGGGGTAATTACTTGACATATGTAGAAGGAGCAAGAGCCATAGAAAGACGGACCGGAAACAGGTAGAATCCTGTATTGAAATCTAGCACAACAGGTATCTTACGATAGCTAACCGCCTCCTCCTCGGATAACTGAACCATCACAACCCAGTGGCTATGAATGAATGAGTTTCATTTCACATGCGCCAGCCCATAGGAAGGCAAACAACTTTGACTTACGCTGTAGCTACGACTTTCCCCTCACCCAGCCCAGTTCCCTCCTCCCCAAACAACGAACCCGTCCAAGCACCTGTTGCCACAATGGTCACATCCGCATCAAGCACCATCCCACCCTCCAATTTGACGCCTTTACACTTCCCCTCCCCTCCGACGACCTCATTTGTACCAGGATCATCATCATCAAAGACGAGTTGTACAACCTTCTTACCGCCGACCACTCTTCCACCTAACTGCTCTACCGTCTTCCTTGCACACTCTAGGCCTTTACTCGCAAAGGCCCACCCTCCTTCTAAATTTACATAACCACATTTGAACGCTTCCCCTAACTTTACACCATCGAAGAAGGGAGCGAAATCAGAATGGTTCTCAATCGTGATAACATGCTGCCCAAGCTCAATATCATTCCTGTACGCTTTGGCAGCATAGCCATCGGATGACGGTGACAGGTTTCCTAGGACAGCCACCCCCGATCTAAATGTCCGCTAATTAGTAAATGGACTCGAACAACATGGCAAGAGGGGGTCCCATTGCCAAAAAAGGTTAATTGAGGCACTCTAACAAAATAAGGGACTTACTCAAAGTAGCAGCCGTTCCACGTGTCATTATCCCCTTTCCACAACTCAATAGCCTCCTTCGCCAACCGCGTGTAAAACGCATCCGAATAACTACTTCTCACAATCTTGTTGATATCTGTGCTCGCAGCATCGGGAGCAGGGAAAACGTCTGACCGATCGAGTACAGTGACGTGCTTGTAGCCTCTTCGAAGCAGATGTAAAGCTGCCGAGAGACCGAAAACACCGGCACCGATGATAAGAAGGTTGACTTCTTTGGAATAAGATGCAAACGGAGATGGCGTATCATTGGCTTCATTTGTAATAGATGGAGAATGACCACACTGCCCACTCGTGTGGCCGCCTCTTGGCACAAAATCACCAAAAGCTTCTAGAGTGTGATCGTCGGAGCTGGAGGCAAGACCGAACAACCCGCTCATCGTTTTTTTAGCGATCTGGGTAACGTAAGATGCAATTGGTCTACTGCTGACGTGAACTACCCACGGTGACAGCCTAGATCTGATGGCGATATGAAATTACCCCCCCAGTATCTTGCCGACACGAGTAGGGCTGCAAGGGAGTGAGATGCTGGGTGGACTGAAGCGCCCCTAGGGCCGCAAGTGGTGTCGCGATAGACCGACTTTCCTGATGGTCACGGTCGATCGAAACCACGTGCACTCAAGGGATTGAATGAAATGCCAAGGGTGGCAGTGAAACTCCAGAACACTGGAAACGCGCGTTTCAAACTGGGGAAATCAGGGGTAAGGAAAATTCCCTGAAATTAGGAAGACAACTACCAGAAAATCCTTCGTTATCAATGTTAGCCCTCCCAGTTCCAGAGTTTCTAGCACTTGAGCAACCCCATCTTGACAAGCACCCTAAAACACAGCAAACTCGTTTTAGGATAAAGCGATTTCGGGCGCGAACGACACCCGAAGACCAATGAGAGGCAGTTCCGTGTGGCGTTCGGCCGCAGAAGCCATTCGCAGTGTCAATTCCAACACTCCTAAAATTCCAATTGACGCTAGAAAGGGCGCAGTAGCAGAACTATGAAGGGCAGAAATGCTAAGAGGCTGAGACAAAAGTGCGACCTCAGACAGCCGCCCAGATAGGACTGAATCGGGAGTGCAGGGGATTGTCAAGCTAACCCGCATAACTCCTCGGTCATGAGATCACCGAACCACGCGTGAATCTTTGGGTCACATCCACCCGGGGTAGGACCCCTATTAGGGTCAATTTAGTAAAATAGTGCATCTCGCGAAATCGGTATATGGATATGGAATGTGGAGGTGGCGAGCCGTGCCGCGTTGCTGGTGAGCGCCAAATCCAATGATGCGGCAGCCATTTGTGCACAATGGGGAGTGGGCGCCGTAAGGCACCAGAGCCTTAATGACCATATCAAGCGCGCCGTCGAAAGAAACTGGCCCCGTCAATACTCATGCATCCCTATTATCCGGTCATCAGGTCTATCCATCGCAGGAAATGGAGATTTGAACCCCCCCGTTCACAGGACCTGGCACATGGCATCTCTGCAATAGAAGCCATTGCAGCATAATGACTCCCTGGCATTTGGGTTGCAATAACGAATAAGGTCAGATGCATGTGACCGGCATGGAGAAATCCGCTTCAACCATTGCTTCTGATTGGCTGTCGGCCGGATCTTGAGCGAGCTATCTGATTGGTTAACAAATGGGGGTAAAATTCGGAAACCTAAACAAGAACGCAAAGTATGTATATATGTATGACAGAAATCCTGAACGTTTATAAATTTGTTTTTACTGGTCTCACCCAGATCCCAACCTCCATTCTCTCCCCCTAATCCCCTGCGACCTTTGGGCCTCCCCTCTCAACGCCCAAGACAACGCAGAGCACCGTGGTAAATAATGACAATTGCTCCCACAACCTTCACTCCCCTTCCGCGTATCGCCAAATCAGAAGAGCCCTCGCATAGCAACACGCTCCTCGATGCTTTTTTGCTTCTACAGTCTGAGCTCGAGTCGTACAAGTATGTTCTTCACGGACGATGGTGAACCCACTCTGACGCGTCACGTTATCGCATGATAAGGTCTGGAATTCCGGTCAAGGTCGATGGACAAACCCTTTCCATCCCTGCCATCGTCGCAGCCGCTCGATATGGTGCATCCGTCACGCTTGACACAGACGAAGGGCGCGTTCTCGTGTCGCGGAGTCTCGCAAAGTCATTCAGGCTAAACTTGAGGCTGGCCACAGCGTTTATGGATTGAGCACTGGTGCGTCATAGCCACCGTTCCCCCCTTCTAAATGCCCAACTCATATTCGACACGATACCATAGGCTTCGGAGGCAGCGCTGATACTCGTACCAATGATCCCCTTGCTTTGGGTAAATCTCTCCTCCAGCATCAACACTCTGGTGTGCTTCCGATTCCAGAGGAACCGATGAATGTCCTGCCACTCACCGACCCCATCGCTGGCTTCTCCATGCCCGAGTCATGGGTTCGCGCTGCAATCCTCATTCGAATGAACAGCCTTATCCGTGGTCACTCTGGTGTTCGTTGGGAGTTCATCGAGGCCCTCGGTGCACTTCTCCGAGAGAATATCATACCCGTCGTTCCACTTCGCGGAAGCATTTCCTCTTCTGGAGGTGAGAGATTCTTTCCCGATCTTTATTCTACTTCGAATCTTCGTTCGCTTATCTCTTATTGAATACTAGATTTATCTCCGCTGTCATACGTCGCTGGCACTTTGATTGGGAACCAAGGAATTCGTGTTTTTGATGGCCCCTCTTGCACGATGGGCCCGCGTAAGATCGTCCCAGCCACGGAGGCGTACAAAGATCATGGTCTTGAACACATTCAATTCGAGGGGAAAGAACACTTGGGGTTACTCAATGGAACAGCGTTCTCGGCGGCTGTGGCCAGCTTGGTACTTTCTGATGCTGCAAACGTTGCCGTTCTGGCCCAAGTGTGCACTGCAATGGGTACAGAGGCCTTGTTAGGCAGTCAGGGTACGTCGTATTTCATCCGCCCGCGACTTCCACTGATTCTTGATTCAAGGCTCACATGCTCCTTTCATCCACGACGTCGCACGGCCCACCCTGGTCAAGTGGAGGTTGCAAAGAACATCTATGACCTCCTCGAAGGAAGCAACCTCGCGGAAACTGGCGATGAGAAGAGCTTTCCTTTGAGGAAGACGTTGGCAAGCTCCGCCAAGATCGATATCCACTCCGCACTGCCCCCCAATTCCTTGGGCCTCAGATCGAGGACATTCTTTCTGCCATCACTACTCTAACCCAAGAGAGTAACTCGAGTAAGTCCATATTTGGGAATCATCTTGTTCGTCCGCGTTGAAGTCATTCCCGCAGCCACCGATAATCCGCTTGTCGATAGCGAAACAGGTCACGTCCACCACGGTGGTAACTTCCAGGCTATGTCTGTTACTAACCCTATGGAGCATGTTCGAGTCGCTCTTCACCACATTGGGAAATTGCTTTTCGCCCAATTGACAGAACTCATCAACCCTTCGATGAATCGCGGCTTGCCGCCCAATCTGAGTGCGACGGACCCAAGCATCAACTACTTTGGAAAGGGTCTTGACATTGCTGGTGCTGCATACGTGTCTGAATTGGGTTATTTGGCGAATCCCGTCTCAACACACATCCAGAGTGCGGAGATGCATAACCAGGCTGTGAAGTAAGTCACACTTGTCATGCCGCAGCTATGATTATTTCAAGTCTGAAAATCTCTCTAGCTCCCTCGCTCTCATTTCAGCACGTCAGACTGTCCAGTCCTTGGAAATAGTGTCCATGCTCATTGCCTCCTACCTCTATGCCATCTGCCAAGCTGTGGATCTCCGTGCTTTACAGCATGAATTCTCAGTGTCCCTTGCTCGCATCCTCACCGAAGAGATTTCTATCCATCTTACGCCTTGTCTCTCCTCTCCTCGCCATGAACTGTCTCTTCACGGTTTCCTTATGTCTGCCATCGAAGACGCGCTGGAGATTAGCGCTCCAAAGATGCCAAGCTCCGAATGGAAACCGTCGCCGCCGCTACCACTGTGCCGCTCATGACCTTCCTCTCACAAGACGCTAGCCTGCTCAGAGAAGGAGTGAACGCAGTCGAGTTGATTCTTGCCTCGCAAGGCTTCCGTATGTCATTCGCCGCTCGCAGTGTTGAGCTACTGCAAAGTCTCAGAGGCGAGTACCTCTCTGGGGCTCGTGGCCCTGTGCCCGCTGCGCCGTTCCTCGGCCGTACACGCCCTTTATACGTTTACATTCGTGAAAAGCTTGGCGTGCCAATGCATGGATGGGAAAACTACAATTCGTTCGCGGATGGTTTCGGGGACGTCACGGTTGGTGGAAACGCCACGAAGATTTATGAGGCGATCAGGGATGGCGAATTACAGAAGGTGATTGTGGATATCTTCCGTGATATATAATGTGGTGGGGGTGGGTGATGGTGAAGTCCGCGAATCCCCAATTTCTTTCGTTGTATCATAGATCCTTTTCACTCTTCATTCACGCACAAAGATACCCCCATGTTGTTGCAAGTGGTTTAAAGCTGGGTTTCTTTGATGATTAATTGTAGCCTTTTTTTTTTGTCTTTCTTTCCTTCCTTTCTTTGCGTGTACATATATTTCTAGTCCTCGTTCTGTTATGGACCTCAACGGTGTTACACTCCCCAGCTCATTGTCAAGTTCAATTTCACAACCAGCCGCACGAAGCGGAGATGAGGGCTACACATAGACTAAATCAAGTCACGATGGTACGGTCACTAACATACGCCTGTTCCAGCCAAGGAAATGACCAGTTGGCGCCCACTTAATTCGCAAGCTGGCGTGGTTAATCGAGATTGAATGTTAACCCGGTGTGACAGGCAGAATATGTACGTAGAAGAACTCGACGCCGCTAACACAAACGAGAACAGCGAGATCCTGTTTGCTTCTTTTACCTCCATCTCAGGATGGTGAACTCCGGCCCATCACTGCGGGCCCCCGACTGGATCTAATATCCCCATGGACAATGACCTCAACTTTAGGGTATGTGTTTCCATCTACGGGAAAGCTGTGACTGCGCTTTGCAAGTAGTCGAAGGGAAAGGAATAGTATATAGTGCGGAGTGGCGCCGTGTCTGAATGTCTAACTTAGGGGAAACAACCCTGGCGGAACGAACGGTTAATTAGTACAAAGCTGGTATTTCCACGTGAGCGCTAGCAAGAAGGTCGATCAACATGGGGGGCTTCGGCACGTTGCGGCGGGAGAACTTTTGTCGATCCAGATCGGATTTGCCTATGTAAGATAGAAGCAACAGCTATGCATGGTTCACTCTGAATTTGTCAGAGAGGAAAAAGATGTACATATGTAATTGTGTAGCTAGACTAAACTGTATGGAGAAGTTGTGCTATGTAGCATGAGGACTTCTTGTAAGTAGTATCCGAAGAACTCTCGTGACATTTATGAACTCCCCAATTCGGTGGAATATTGATGCAAATATCGAAAGGCTAAAATAATAACCAAGGAAGGAGGCGGTGAAAAGCGGCGGAAGTGGTTTGCCCAGCCGTTGTGGATGGTTTGGGCACCGTTATGACTTATCCGTCGAACATTTTTCGTGGCATCATGATCCGGGAAATATGTAAAGTGCCCCAGGAAGGTTAAGTATTCCCATCGAAGGCAGCAAATCATGAGGGGCACCGAATGCGATGGATAAGTATATTACGGAACGGGAACAAAAGTGACCCTAATGGGGATATATGGCCTGTAGGTGGGCCATGGCCCGGTTGAGTGATAATAGGCATCATAGCACCAATGTGGCGGTCGAACGAAATAAACTGATCGGAGAGTGGGTACGAGCGATATGAGGCAGTAGCGAACAGGAATTCCATTGGCTCAAGCGCTCCAGTGCAATGGTTTCAATGCCGATATGAGGGAAGAAGTAGTAGTACTGCTAATCCCGAGGATATTGCTTGAGGATATATGCGCCCGCCGCAAATAGCCGAGATGCCGGACGGGTTGTTCCGCCGGGCCACAAGCAATTGGTGGGGTTGCTTTGGTGGCTTCGTATATCCATATTGCATGGGCCCTAACTATAATATCAGCATTCAAGCCTCATATCTTAAAGAGTCCTTGAAATCGTGTTCTCGAATTGCTGGCGCCGTGATCGTCCTATGTAAATTGGCTTTGGCATATATAGCTGAAAAAAAAAAAAGGAACTACTTAATTCCCTTTGCCGTGCTCATTACTGGGGTTGTGTGTGGGCGAATTTCCAACTCCCAGCTTGCGGCCCCACCACGGTCTATTGATTCCTTCATTACTGGGAGTTGTCCAGAGATAGCGCTCGTCCTTCGGGATTTTCACGAGATTGCTGCTATGTACTTCCTTTCCATGTGTGTCGTATTGCCTTGACAGCCAGCTTGATGATAGTGATGTAGAGATATGGACCTGGGCGCCTATTCAGGCATTCAGCTAGGTCCTCTTGAGCCCAGTTCGTTCCGAGAAATGTTCCTCGCGCCGATTGCTGCAACTGCCGTGTTTCGCACTCGATAATTCTCAGAGCGCCGTTACTGGTTCGAATTACTTAATGGTTGACGTGGATGCACTGATGTGACTCCTGAAAGACCTAAAACTCTCTACAATTGACTTGGTAGACAAACGCCTTGAACGTTGTGGCTGCTGACGGATCCGTACTCGCCTTCCGGGCCACTGCTCTGCTTGCGGCATCATTTCTGAATGATCTATTCTCTTTAAAGCACTAATTTTTTTTTCCGTTGCAGGTCAAATAATCTGACCCTGAGTGGAAGGCTATCTCTGACACCTCCTCACCCCTGGTCAAACTATCGCGTTCACCCACTCTCTCGGTGGGGCTTTTAGCTTCTCATCCATTGGCGAGGGTGCGTGCAGCACGATGCCTTCGACCCCGGTGACATCACGAACCTCACTGCACGTCGATGTGTCACGCTGCTGAGCTCAAGGCAGCCATGTCGCACCCCCTTATCGCCCCTTCTCCCTCGACTCCCTGGCAAGCGAGCCCACGCTTTCATAGGTAAGTCGATTCCATGCCAGTCAAAGATGATCCACTTATGCTTTAATTGTCTAGCTCAACATTGCTCCTCGCACTGACAAACCCCTACACCTACTTGGTCTCCACGTACCCTCGTACTCAACCGTCCAGACTCGCTTCTCGAACATTCACAACGACCAACGTTACCCGCCAACTCGCTACTGGCACCCCTGCACCGACCCTAACCACCTGCGCCTGCGTCTACCCCGCGTCGAACCCTAGCGAGTTAGGCTATCATGAACGCTGAGTAAGTTTGGCTGGAGTGTGAAATGGATAGACGTTCGTCCTGATCTTTGGTTCTCACCCCAGAAATTCACGAGCACCCCCGCGGAGGGACCACACAGTATATCTTGTGTATGTGAAAAAGGGATGATTGGCAATGCCAATTTTAGTAACATCATAGTGCCACAAAGACCCATCATAACTGTTGACCATCGGGGATGAACAGGATACATTTAATAATGCAGTATTATACAGATGATGAGAGTGGCCGTTACATATACACGAATGAATTGTACAATGGTCTTTTGATACAGGTAGACCAAGAGTGAACGATGAGATGTGCATGCTCGAAGTGGGGGGTTTGCGCAGCGGAAAAATCGTGGACGAACCTCATGAAGGCGAACCGTCAGAGGGAATGATTGGTTGTCCAATAAGATGATTTGTGTGTGTGTGTGTCTCCCATATGACCTCCGTAGGACCATTTCGATATCTTTACGCCCAACGTGGAGTTCAGCACTCCACACCAAATGTTGAACTCATCTTTGTGCGAATCGTTGCGGTAGGGATCAAAGACACCCAAAAGTGTGAATCGATGTTGTGCATGGGTATATTATCCGATCTGTTTTCGTATCCTTCTACGTACTCCCAACCGTCACGCCCATCCTCCCTCAGAAGTTGCACCCAGGGACCGTAGATGTACAGGAAGCATACCACTATATGGCGAAGAGTCTTTGGGATTGTTGGAATCGCCTGTTCGAAGTTGAGGCCCCGAAGGTAGGATCCCCTCACCACAATGGCACAAAACTCCAAACATTTCATGTCCTTGATGTACGTCCATGCATCTTTAAGCTGAGATGTAGGCGAAGAGTGGAACGAGCAGTCCCGATTGAGAATGAGAGTCAATGAGCGTACGTAGGGCATGCCCGGCAGCAGCTGTGGCAATTCAGCAGTCGTTACCGAATAGGCCCAGTAATGTGTGATGAACTCGGTTGACTCCATCAATGGCTCTTCGACACCTCTTTGGAAGTGTCGGTAACGACTAGCGACATGGGTAATGGGTCTTCCCGGTATCAACGATCGCATCGCACGGGGCCGAGCCGCAACAATGCGTAATCCGGGAAGGGACTGTCGAGGCACCACAATATCCTCCATCCAATCTATCATGAGCTCTTCGATTCCTGGCTGGGATTCTAACACACTCAAAACGTTCGGCGTGGCTGCCTTCATCCCGGATAACCTGAGACTCTTTAGCCGAAAAACGCCGGAATTATTGGCCAAGAAAGCGAAAAGGGGATCCCACGCATCCTGGTTCTCGTATCCCTCGACGCCAAGATGCTTCAAATGCGGCATACCTCTCATGGCGAACTCCAATTGAGCCTGATCATAGCACAATTCTTGATCAAAATGCAAGCTAAACTTCCGGACGTGATGACCGTAACCGCGAGCGATAACGCTGTGAATGAATTGGTAGAAAGGTTGTTCCCCACTCAGTCGTTGATGAACCTCGATAGACCTCAACCGGAGGGGCAGCAACACTTCGTGGGCGTATCGGCATGTTCTAGAAAGTTCACGAAGGGACTTGGGGGTTAGGAGTGACCCAATCTCAAATAGGACGTCCGGGATGCAGCGGTTGTGAAAGGGACGAGGGACATGTACAACTGACCCACAGGATGCCATTCCTGTCAGCGTATAGGGGTTCCAGCGTTGGCTTGACTGTGCACCGTAACCCGGCTTGGTCCGATTTGGAATCGGAATTCAGTACATCTCATTTTAGCTTCCTCAACGCCTGTGCACGTTTCATTTGCAGCAATATGTACACATGATCGATAGCAAGTGGCAAACGGCTTATGGATAACCATGTGCTCTGCATTTAGCGCATCCCCTAATTGAAAGCATGGATGATAGTTTAATGTTAATCATGATGCCTGGCATACAACTCGACCAGGAGAGCAGCAAGACCTCGAACGCATGTAGAACCCTGAGTGGGAGGTAATGTGGGTGGTACAGGGCATAAACAAGGAGATGGAAACCGTGGGCGAGGACTGTTCATCATTTCGTGAGCCCGGCACCGCGCAAAGATCCGTGTAAATATAGGCTTGGATGGCGTGTTGTCAAGGCAGTAATTTTTGGGATGAGCAAAATCCTGCAGATCTCATGATTTCGTCCGGCAATGCAATGCAGATGTGGGTGCGCGGTAAACTGGCGAACAATAGCAGCGACTGTTTCAAACAAAAACACAATTTCAGTGTCAGTCCTCACAGGTAGTGATCTTTACTGACGGACCGACTAGATTAAGGGCGCTCGTCAGATGCTCCGCTTCCTACTTCGTGTACCTTGCAGATTCCAACCCCTGATGATCAAGGGATCGAGGGTGCGCCCCCACAGACAGGGCTGCCCAGGGTGTGAAGGCGGCGGCTTGACACTGCTGTTTCCTTCTTCCACCAACTCCCAGTAGAACCTAGGATCATTTCGTGAGAAATGTAACCATCTTCCGTTCCATCTTGTCATCAGGACCAAATCCTGATAGGCGGTCGAAGGGGAAGGAAGCATGGCTCCGAGTGGGTAAGGGTCAACAGGGAGGAAATTGCAGGTAAGAGCCAGATACTCGAGGCGATCAAGTTTATTGAATGCTGTCCAGATAGAATCAAGCTCCCCCTGGGTAAACTGATCCAGGAAGACTCCAATGGTGCAGGATTGAAGGTGAGGCATGCTTTGAATAAATTTCTCGAGTTGCGATGGTCTGAGAGGGTCGTGATGCAAGAAGTGGATGATGTGATGAGTCGGCAAAGGGAAGGGGTTGTCTATGCCGTCCAGCCTCTCAACCTTGTCGATAGTGACGGATTGTACGGGTCTCCCAGGAATCAAAGTGGCAGCTACGGGGTACGATGCTTGTATATGCCGCAAACTTGGAAGAGCGCAGGGAGGTATTGAGAGGGCCCGAGAACCGCAAATCCTCAAGTCTTCGATCTCTGGCTGCGAGGTTAGGAAGCGTTCATATTGTGGACCAGCCGCGAATTCCGTCCAGAGCCTTTTGAGTTTAAAAATGTTCGCTTCATTGGCCAAATGGGAAAACAAGGATTCGGATCGGTCTCCCCCAATATATAATGAAAGCGAGAGATATTTTAGGTTGCGCATGCACGCTAAAACAGAAACGGTAGTTTCGAGGTCGAAAGGCGCGTTTCGCTCGAAGACCAAGGTCAGGTTGGAGACTAGAGGACCTCGATCGTGGGGAGCCAGTAATGAATAGAAAGTGTGAATATCATCCGTTCCATCGTTGGCATTGATTAAGGTGATACTACGCCAACGAAAGGGGAGGAGAGTGTCCCACGTGTATCGACAGGTCCCATACAAAGAGCGCCGGGATGGCTCGTCAAGCTGAGGGATGAGCTGAAGTAGTACGTCTATGATACACCGTTCATGGAATGGTTTGTATATCCGCCGATGGAATGAATGAACGAGATCCAGTGCCATCAACCTTGACGCGTTGATCTGGAGGGGATAAAGTGCGTATCGATCCTCGTATACTTAGGAAGAATCACTCACCTGAGAAATGGCTTGCGGGCTTTCGATGGAACTGCGCCCCAGACCCAGAAGCAACGAGCGCAGCGAAGATCCGGAAAGACTCCACAGGGCCTTATACCGGGGGCCCTGACATCTGTTGGGCGGTCATATGCACGACCGTCTGGGTACTCGCAATCAGGTCACGCGGAGCGTCAGAAGTTGTAATATCAGAGTAGATGCGTGCTTCTGTTCTTCCTTGCACTGGACAGAAATATCTGGATGTCATATCGGACGACACGTTGTCGCACCGTCGCGTGTGCGGACATATTTAAAAGTGCGATCCCCCTTAATCAAAGGGGTTGAAAATTGCCTCTTCAGTTAGCCAAGATCAAAGCGGAGCAGACACCAGCCAAACGCTTCCAAGTGGGAGTGTCTGGGTACCATCTTGCCAGTGGATCAGCCTAGGTGATCGTAAGCGCTGACCCAGACTCAACGGGGTTAGCGTTGTAAACTCCGTTTATTTGAATGGCCCTCGGCGCAAACACTATGTCATACTTGCTCCACCTGCCAAACACGCCTCTCAGTCCGACTTCAGGTGCGTATGCTGCAATGGGGATACGCGGTCTTCTCTTGTTGCATGTGCCGATAAGGAGGATAATTTTCCAGAATGAAACGAAATATTTACCACTTAGCTACTGCTGTTCCCCCCGCCACCCGGAATGTGGCACGACGTAATCAAGTGGTTGCTGTGAGGACCTACGCCGACCAGCAGGCTAAGAGGCTTCCCGAAGAGAAAGCTAAACTAGTAAGCAAAGATATGGCTTCTAGTATTCCATCATCTCCAATGGACCTGCTGAACCCAGTCGTGATGTCGCTTTGCTGACACGGAAACGCTCAACATTACAGGTATTCCGCTTTGGTCCCCGTAATGTGCCGATAGAGCTTTGGCCTATGGGTTTTATCCTTGGTGCGGGCCTTGCGGGAGGGAGCTACGCAATCTATCGACATCTAGCTTACGACAAAGATGTGAGCGGCTAGCATGCATCCATCTGACTATGGGTTATTTCCCCAGCTTAAAGGATACAGTCCTCACATATCCTCGTTAGGTCCATCTTACACGCCCAGGAAAGCTGGAAGAGGAGCTTAGCAAGCATCAGTGAACTGACTGCTCGCTATCGCATCCCTGGTCTTGGCAGATTAAAATATCAGTCAAAGTGTACAATATTCCTGACCGAATGCAATCCTCCCGTCGGGGCTGTAATTGAAAATGGGCTAAGCTCGGTGGACGAAAGAAACTCGCAGTTCTGAACCCGTCAGCAGATTGAATGTCACAGCGGCCGCGGCCGGTGATCATCCTTTGGGTGTGGTTTCATGGCGAAGGAGCAAGCATAAAAACCTATGTTCTCATCCTAGCCGTAGTTATCACAGACGTGAGGAGTGTAGCCAAAATCATGGCAACGGGCTACCCGTGGGAATTTGAAACGTGAGTCCTCTCCCTTGACTCGCCAATCGCTCCGTGCGATTGTGCTTGTGCCTGTCACAACGCCGAAGGCTTGGCTCATCTCTATGCAATACATGATCTCGCTCAACCCTTCCTATCGCGGGCTGAGCATTGTAGCCTTGCGGTGTTCTCCGGATGATTGATTGCCGACTTGTCCCCGTTGAGCCTCTCTGGGCGACCTCACCTATTCGACGCCGCTTCTGTGCCCAGGACAGAAGTCGGGTATGAGGGTGGAAGACCTGGGCAGACTATTTTCTCTAGTATAGCCTGGATTTGCTGCAGAACAGGAACCTACTTAGCTCCCCTTGGGGAGCGCTAGCCGCAGAACTCAACACTTTGATAGTACTGCCTGGCGGCTGTATGTATCTCGCTACACTGGCAGCCCGCAAAGGCATTGTCCTTTACGGGTCTTTATGGATGCCCCTCATCCTGCTGACACTCGTGCCATTGTCGCATTCCGGTCTTGTCCGACAGTATGTTTTCTGCTTTGTGGCTGTCCATGAGAACAGGCCATCTCTGTCAATTCCCGTTATCCAATATAGAGGGTGCCCATGTTCCATCAGGCGACTCACCATTCAGTGAGTCGGGTATTTAAGCCTATCATTGGATCCTCCCACTTGTCCTCTTGCAACAACCTAGCCTTAGGGACAACGAACTTGCCTATCTGCTAGTCAGTGACAGCTTGCGACCAGGAAGTAGGTCTTTATGTCATCTTTCTGCTAGCTATCCTGACTTGTGACTCCTATCCAGATGCTCAGAAACCTCTTACAAGCGCCCAAGACGGCGGCCACTCTTATTCTCTCTGCTGAGCGTGGCACACGCCCTCTGATGGATCATAGGAGGCACTCATCTAGGGCTCCAGAACATGGAAACACAGCGACAGTCGTACGTTCCTTTCCCTGGTCGAGTTCTCCGGAGTTCTCACCAACTGTGGTCCTTTTTCGTCCCCTCTCAGGACTCTCGTCTGAAGTACGCTCCTTTCGAGATTTGGCGCCTTGGAGCAATCATGAGCGGGGCCCTCGCGGGCGCTGGATATGCCATCCCTAGGCCTTTGGCCGACAGTCCAATTTTTGGCCCTATGCCACATTTTGGCTCGTTCGATTGATAGCGAAATGCTCTGCCTTCCTCTTTGCTGTTCTGCCTAGTCTGCTGCAGTCGTAGTTTGTATTTTTCCGATGGCCTGACCTCAATCGTCGTTATCCTAGGTGGCAAGACACTCAGGGCACCCACGAGCGGTCTTTGTGCCCATCCGTCCAATCAATTCCCATCGATTTGTCCTCGTTGTCACGTTCTTCCCTATCTGTCCCGAATTTCTTGTTTAGTAGTGTCATATCGTACCACATTTGTATTTATGTGAATGCTCAGAAGTCATCTAGAAAACTTGGAATATTCATGCATACTCTCACTTGACAAATTAAAAAGGTCGCCTCGTCAACATGGCCGGGGGAACGGAACGAACCTGGGGAATTTTCAGTTCATATTTCAACACGTTCCCAAGAAGAGGTACCCTGCGTTGAAGGGCAAGAATGACATGCGTTAAGTGAGGAGCCGAACATACAAAACGAATTGTAACAAAGATTACACTGACGACAAAAATTGGGCTGGTCTGATGATGTGCCACCAAACGACAAACGTACTATGTAATTAGCAATAAGGAAATGAGCGAACCAACCGCTTCATAAAGCGGGGCATTGTAAGACTTGAACCCGTGTGTTATTTCTCACTTTCCATCTCAAGGACCCAACCCCGGCCTTCAACGCTGGAAGCCCTCTGTCGCGCCGGAAGTCGGGCTGTACGATAATACATCCTGATTGTCCATGATCGGCGCGAAGGGATTGACCAACAATGAGGCTGGCTGTTGTTCGCCCTCCTTTCCATCAGCACGCCAATGCATCTCGTCCACACCAGAACCCAAGTTCATAGTGGGAGATGTAAGAAGGACACGAGGCCCTGGGCGGGGTGATCTTGAAGTTGATGTAGACGAAGGGGACACTTGGTCGAGCAAGGCACTGATGATATGGGTATGAGGGGTATTTTTCTGTTGATTCATGCATTGAGAAGCCGACGATGAGCTCGCTGATGGTGGGAATGCTAAAGGTAATGCGTTGTTCGTGGGACTGTGAGGTGGGGATGGATACGTCTCGTGTATTTGATGATCTGATTCAATAAGCTGCTCGATGGGAGAGACTGGAATAGGGCCTGAACTGTCAACTAAATCCAGACTAGTGTCTTTGCTATCTTGGAAAACCTCAGTGGATTCCGTTGCATCCCGGTGGGGTACTGATGCGGTTGCCTTTGCCGACCGTAATGCAGCCTCGAGCTCGGAGATCCTGAAAAGTAGAGACTCCCTTTCTTGGGCTGCGAATGCCTTCAATGACTCGGTCCGTTTGTGTTCAGGGGAGATTTTCCCCGTGCTAGAAGGGATGAGACGAAAAGACTTGATGTCTGGAGGGGAGGAGTAAACGGTATCCTCTTGCACTGGCTCGACGTCAGGAAGAGATATTACACGTTGTCGAGGGGACATCGAACGAGATCGTACGTGGACGGACGTCGACGATTTCAAGTCCAGGGAATGAGGTCGGGTGTTGAAGATACGTCGCTTTCGCGTCGTACCAACCGTATCCTCGGCATTCCCTGTATCATTTTCAGGCTTCGGTCCCAAGTCTAGTGTGAGCAGAGTAGGAGAGGGTGGTTGAGAGGGTTTTTCCGCGCCCAATCTCGGAGATACAGCTACGATATGAGGGAGATGCAGGGGTTTGATTCCTCCGAAAAATGTCGTTCCAGATTGAATCTGCGGCGTGTGCAACCCGCTCAATAAACCAGCGGCTGTGTGACCGTGGTAACTCGCAGGCCGCGGACGAGCTCGAACCCCATCAGGCGGCGAGGAAGGAACAGACGAATGGGTTGGGGTCGATGGAACTTCTGGAGCTGGAGCCGTCGAATCTGGGGATGAGCTCAGGATTTCATTATTTAGAGCGTGTTCGACGTTAGGGGCAGACGAAGACTCCGGTCGCTCTTGTGTTAGTGATTGATGATTCGGTGGTTGGGTCGAGTCAATCAAAGCAGTTCCAATGACTACATGCATGTTAGCTCAAGTACCACGTGGAATCATGCAGCTGCTGGCTTACTTTGCAAAATGTAGCCAAAAATCGAGACACCCTCCTTCCAGAACTCGAGGACCTCAGATATTATGGATCGACTGGTCGTGCAAATCAGGAAAAACCTGAATAAAGACTCGAGCCACCGAACAGATGTCCAAAGTTGTCGCAAATAATACAGGGGGTTGAGGAGATTTACCGCCAAGGTCAATAAGATGTTGGGGAAAGTAGCAGCAGCTCGAACGAGAAGTTTGGGATCTCCTCGATCCATCCTTGAAGGAAGGACGAGGATGAGGGTGTAGGTAAGTGTGTTGACTATAAAAGATCGTGAGGGGGCTCTCTGCGGAGTTCCATTTCCATAATCGCGGTGCATCTGAAATTCAAACGTCCAAATTTGGCCAAGCTGATTCGGGCTGCGTTTAGCGCCCAAGGCGAAAATCCGGAGTCAAGCGATGTAGAATCCTAAGCAATCTGAGTGCTCATGAACCTCGCAGTAATCCCAGTGATGCGAGTTGGACGACTATCAAAAAGAGAATGGTTGAACAAGAACATGTGAAACGAGGCTGTATCGCCACGGACTTGGCTGTGCTTTCAGTCCCGTCGTGCGGCGGTTACTGATTGTGTTGCCCTACCTCAGTATGGGATAGCTGCCCAGCCCAACCTGCGGCGCAGATGCAAATGAGCCAGGCGATGAACCCTGGGTTCGCCTACCGGAATGATCATGCTAAGGCCCATTCGTGCGAATCGTGCCTAGGGATTATTCAGTTTTCCTGTTGTGCAGGGCTGCGCCTCCAGGGTTTGTCTGAGTATCGAAACGTGACTACTCCTGGGTTAACATCAGTCTGCTCTTTTTGTAGGGCTTACTCATTCCAGTAAAGGGGAAGTAAGTTTATCACAGGAGTGAGTGTGCCATGCATCCCCTTCAACATGGTTGCATGGTTGCTACGCCGCTCTACTTTAGTAGAGGCTGGGATCCTGCCTACTACGCCCCAGCAATTAACGTTAGTATTGATCATACTGGTCAACCCTCCATCTTTCCCGGGTATCCAGATTCCATACACACACCTGCATGTCTGATTTTTCCATCGTGAGTAAATAACTGTCTTGTCGGGGCTCTATCTTTCGGTCACCTCCCTCCGTCTGTGATGGAGCATCGTATCCCTGCACAACCCTATCAACAATTCTCGGCCATCGGATGTCCCGTGGAATCGACCCGAAAAACGTTGGAGCAATATCTCCGTATGCAAATAATGCAATTGACCCAACATAGTGTAATTGGAATAACCTTGCACTCGAACCCTTCATGAATGCACCCAGCGCTAGCGGTCAACTTTGTTCAATGCACTTTGACACCTCCGTCGGAAGTCACATATGCATAAGCCGCATGGGCCACGAGTTGTGGGTCCTTTCACAAGACCAGCGGAACAACGGCAAGGCGCATCAAGCTAATGCATGGTGCGAATCTTGCAGGGACCCATGGCCATGGGTAACACGACGAAGAATAGCCCTTCAAACCACACGATGCTCCCTAGCACCTAGAGAGAGTGTGTGAGTTCTGGATACATAACATGCGGACTTCAGTCCTAGCACCTAGAAGTCGCAGGGATGACATTTCGGGTGGTGACGTTGCCGTTGGACATTTATTCTGGGGATTACTTAAGATGGCTTCGAAGATGTCCAGGCCAAAGGGATGTGTGATTCGAAGCCCCCACAGTATTCAGCTTGGGACGGCGCTGAAACCGCGACTGCAAAGGGAAAGTAAGCCAGGCAATTTGCAACCCCTTATTTGGCCCCTTTTAGTTTCGAATCCCAATGCCGATTCTTCGGAGGTGGATCGCTAGACCGCTACTGGCGACATATGCAGAGTTGTAGTTACCGGGACTTGCATTCCTTCTCATGAGTCTTCGATCTCCGCCGCACGTTATCGGGCTGAACGCACAATTATCATCCAAAGCCGCATGTGGACGATGTCGAGAATAATGTGTGCTGTAGTACTCGCCGTATCAGCAATATGATTTCGTGGATCGCATACGTAATTAGACAGCAGCATGGCGGTTTTGCTTAGCTTAGTTAGCTGGTCTACGATTGAGCCACGATTCGTGGGCTTCGCGAGCTTGATCTTAGCAGTACTGCTGACACCCTGGCCCGCGCAACTATTATTGAGGCCAGGTGCCAAGCTCGGATTCAACTGGGCCCCAACAATGAGAGCGAACTCGTTGAACCTATCGTACGCGACCGGCACCCTCTGGAATACAATAAGCAGTGATCATCACAAAACTAGCAGATATTCCCTAGTGATGGATGACGCATGCATCGAGTTGGGATTTCATGGTTCGTGCGCAAACGCGAATCGAGGAAGGCTTAGGGGGGACAACTCTCCCGAAGTGGCATTGGAGAGTAAGGTGCCTTTCTACGTACTAATAGTCATGCGCCCATGCCATTCTTCGGATGAAGTCAGAACGACATGTGGACAAAAGGGCACATGCCAAACTGAGCAGGCAAACTTACCTGAAGGTGTTTACTTAAAGTTCAGTTCTGATTCAGAAACGCCATTGCCACTAGCAAATATAGTAATAACTTGACTGTATATGCGCACCTTTGCCTGGCGTGCATGGGTGTATAGCCGGCGTTCGCTTGCAAGCTGCCTATACCCATCAGGAAACTGGAGCACTCCAAGGCTCCCAGAGCTCCTGCGAGTTCTTTCCAATTTTCCCGACATCATACCGGCTCACATCAAGAGTGATCGATGCATGTGATGAGCAATGAGAATATTGCAATGAGCGTTGGCAACAGTTGCGGTGCCCCGCACCGCAACCTATTCGGAAGCATGAGTGGAGTCTTTTGCTAGTTTATACTAGCTTGTGCCACTATTTGGGTACCCCAACCGAGCAACAGTTTGGGACTGTCCTGTCCCTTGGCTTTGGGACATACGAATAGCTAATAATACCATTGTAGGTTGTTCCCCCCCTCCATCGGTCCTGACTACCGTGGTTACGCACTTGACTATGCTAGACGCTAATGCAGTCCGTCTAGCCATGGAGTCTTCCCTTCCTTCTGAGTGGATCCGTTGATGTTTTGATATTCGACTGTCTATAATTGTCGCTGAGCTGTGCGGGAGGCCAACCCCCCCACCTCACCTTTATCATCTGTCATTAAGCATATCATTGGGGCAAAATGCCTGACGCTCTCAAGCAGAAGATAGATAATCTCCTCACCACGGCAGGGAAATTCCAAATTCTCACAGCCGGTGATGCTGCGCCTGGAGTATATTCTCCAGCTTCAACGAGGTCAAGGTCAGGGATGATTTGTGCTGGTTGCGGTCGGAAGCTTTGGGTTTGTTGCTATGGGTTTGCCCATTTGTTCTCCGCGGCAATGCTCGGTGTTCAGAGGAGAAAGTAACGATGATTGTTATTCCAGATACTTTGCACTGTATTTATAGTTAGCGCTGAAAGAAAAAAGGTGGGGAGATTCGAAGGTGGCATAGAGCGGCGATAAAGTCATGACGTGTCACGGAGCGTTTTGAGCGCCGGGCGCTGCCATGCCTGAAAAAAGGCTCACACCTGTATCGCGCAGAAGTCTAAGGAGGATAGGAAGGAATGGACCAGCTTTGGGCCCGGGTTCCGGCTAAAAGGGCATTTGGAAGGTTCTAGGAGGCACGTCCTGAAGTCGGATAGTGCAAACGTCTGCGCCATCAGTTGGTTGGCGTTCTCCCAGAATTCATTCACTAGTTCGGCTGGGCCACTCAGCAATCTATGTGATGCTCTTTCCGATCTCGGACGGCACTCTGAGGCGCTCCCATTTCACCCCAGAAATCGTGATGTTCTGGGGACAGCTTGTTGCATGCCAGAATTGGTCAACAACCCATGTTTCGCTCTCTCGACACCTCGATAGTATTCCGAGGCGCTCCCACTTATTGAAGAAGGCTCTACCATCGGCTGGTCACCGTTGATTGGGCACCGTGCATTCCATATTCGAGCGGTTCACTCGAAATCCGACGTCCTCTGAGGCCGTGATGGTCTAAGTGGCTGGTCACCCTGCCTAGTATTGAACAACGGAAGCCCCCATAGGACCCCACCCATATCATAATGTGTCCTGGCCGGCAACTTAAAAATAAATTGGATGTTCGGGTCGGGGGGGCTGAAAGATTTGGCGACAGTTTTTGATTTGAAACTATTGACAAAGTGGCTCAAACAGTAGTCCAAAAGTGCGATATGAACATTCCGTCCGGTTATTCAACGCAACCGGCAAAGGACTATTATACAACATGAATCTCAACAAGCAATTCTGGTTGAGGATTCGGACCCCGGACGATCCTACCACCAAGATGTTGTCTCGAATGTGTTACTGGCAGTGGAATGCAGATGCTTGATTACACAGTCCCCAACAAGGCACGTCACCAAGCATCAATCGAAAAACTAAGCTTACAAATAACTCCTATCCATTTCCAGACGTACGCTTGGTTCCAGAGCGCCTTCGATGTTTGCTCAAATACATACTGTCCGCAAGATCCTGGGGCATGTTCAGTGGTGACAGAGAACTCAGTAGTGCAAACTCACATACCAACTTCGCCGCTCAACAGCAGTATGTAACTATCGACTGGTACTGGGTAACGCCAGCGCAATTTCCTATGACTTATAGATGCACGCCACCCGCAGGCTGATCGCTGCGATCACAGCTTGGAAACCCGAGGAGAAGTGAGAACGGAAGCGTAAGAACGACCCGGAAGCGCTGATTCCATCGACCGGGAAGACGCAGTGTCAGGGTGGATGACTTCCCAATCGGACCCAGCCTCGTCCGACCAAAGTGAAGCGACGTCGCATGGGATGTCAATGTCTTCCATGACAAGAACAGGCCGCAAACAAGAGACAAACTCGTATTCACGCGCAACACCTGAATGGGGATAATATGAACCCACTGGAATGGACAGAGTGAAAATCCATACCAGTTGGCTTGCGCTGGGGTTTGATCAACTCATCAAGGTTGATACGAATGTTACCTCGAGCCGGCTCTTCAATGCTCCTGAAGTGCTGATCTTGTTCCTGAACTCCGTCACATAAATATTCGTCATCATCATCAAGAGTTAAATCGCTCTTTGCAACCCATCCACTCCAAACCGGATTAGGAGCCATGCGGCCCCTGACACGGCCATTCAAATGGTACTTGGCGCTCCTTCCCACATTACCGCTGACGCGCTTAGACTTATATGGCTTAGCTCCCTTATCGGTACGGTCGGAAGGTTTGAGCGCACGCCAACGTGCATGTTCGTAGGACAGCTGATCTTTGACGTCGAGACGGGAAGTATTGTTGAGGGTGGTTCCAGCAATAGAAGGCATGATTGTGTACGACCAGGGGATCAATGCAATAACGGTGCGGTGGAACTGATTAGAAGGGCAGACGGTGTTTGTTGCGATGCGCGAGTCTTGAACTCGAAGGGGGATGCTGAAGGAGAGAGAGCCTGGCAATTATCGTCACTTTATAATGCACAATTCGGCCCCGTTCCCACCGAGTCACAATCGGTTACCAGTTGAGTCATCTGGTAGTGATTCCGCATCGCTGTTTCCATATGCGGCTAATCGGGTGAGAACACCTCAACTCGGCGAGCCCAGCCATTTTCCCGCGATCTTCGGAAACAAGTACTGACTATTCATGATCTTCGGCGACGTAAGCTGTAGACCTGGCGTATTTGGTTAAGCTGTTTGAAGCAATTGGTTAGCAGTACTGCTGGCAGTACGTGTGCTGGTCAAACTCGGCTATCATTGCAGTCCATATCGAATGGTTCCGGCCTTAGCAATGATAACGAGCTCGTTCAATCCACTGAGCTCACAATAAATATCAGCTGGTGCCACCAGTAGACGGCACCTCCGCACTGGTTTATCTGGAATTCGCGCGCAAGCGCAAATTGAGGAAGACACCTCTCTGGAAGTGGTGATAAAGGATGGTGTGCGTTCCTCATGATCACGGCCGTCTGTTCTTCGGGCCAAATTACTACTAGGAATTTCATGGGACAGATCGGGCACATAGATCTTAACGCAGCATGAAAATTTATTCTCTACCCAGGCACTATCCATATACCCCTAGACTTGGCTATGTCAATCAGCTGTTTATATGTCCCTCTAACGTCACTCCGAGACGCTCCATTTTTATCGAACTCCAAATCTGGCCAGCCATGTCACCCAACAATTATTCCCGCTACTCCGTAGCGGGTCCTGTAAGTTTACCGTGCAAAGAGTATTCCATATTCCAATGCTTTCCGAGGTCCTACTCGTTCCCATCCGGACCATGCGCCAAGCGGCAAACCTCTGATATCTGATTCCACCTCGATGTGGATTCTTCCTTTTCAACCTCTGTATTCGCACCCGTGACCCAACCTGAATCCTTCATCATTTCCTCCCCCCCACTTTCGTTCTTCAACTACTCCGCCCTATCGGACAACTCAAGCTTCGTGGCCTTTTTCTTTTTTGTGTGCTGGCTATATCAAGGTCTGGTACGTTGAGCACTACCTTAAGACTGATGGACTGCATGGTATGCACTGGCACACTTAAGAGAAGTATTCTCCACTGGCCCGCCCCTTGCAAATCAGTTTCTATACCCGTCTCATATGCCTCCTGAAAACCTCCTCCCTTGCAACGCTACACTTTGAATATGCGCTTGCGAGGTCCGGTTCTATAGCCTGCCGTTGTGTGGGTCACATTATCACAATGAAGGTTTGGGTACGCTCAGATTCTGGGTTTCAATCCACCGCTCCGCGCAACTTTGGGTTCAAACACTGTCCACTGTGACCATCCGCTTCCGCTCCCAACTTCATACGCTCATTTTCACGCGCCATTTAGTGGTGATATATAAGTGGTGGACGCCGCCTGGCGCGGCAAGTACCCGCTACTCATTCCTCTTTGACGGATCTTTTCTACGCCAGTCCGCCAATATAACGACATCATTCAGCAATGTGCGCATTGATTGCATTCGGCTTCTCAGAAATCACGCTGTGTAGCTAAGCGTACAGACTAGCGAACTACATTTGACTCAAAAGAAAAAAATGCGGTGTCATCTATTTGAATCCCAGGTTGATCAGACACAAGCGCTCACATTCTTGGCTGGGACACATACCGTGAACACAGGAGTGCCGCTCTGAAAATATGCTGAATGGATCATAATGCGCATCGCTGCATTGGGACTCTGGATTTCTGTAGCCGGAGCCGTAGGGGTTGCGCGCTATCGTCATTGGTGGATGACATCGAACGCTAATTGGGAAGAGGGCTCACTTGGACGCACACATGAACATGCGGAATCGCACTCTCCTCATGAACGATGAATGCGATCCATGCTTTCTTTGCCGAAAAATTCTGTTTGAAGCAGTCAGACTCCATAGTTGCGATGCGTCACCTGCCCTCACGCACCGAACCCCATACTAAGACATGATCCAAACCATGTTGTTGGTGTAATACCACGCAGTCGGACAGAACGGCATGGTGAGTGGGAGAGTTAGAAGCCAGTGGATCATTGTCGTATGTCAATTGTTCTAATGCCATTCTGCCTAATGGTATTGAGACTCCCCCCTTCCGGACGTGAATGACTATTTCCATTTATACCCTCTTTGGGGGGCCAGTCGTGTAATACCATTAGGCAGAATTGCATTAGAACAATTGACATACGACGATGATCCACTGGCTTCTAACTCTCCCACTCACCGTGCCGTTCTGTCTGACTGTGTGGTATTACACCAACAACATGGTTTGGATCATGTCTTAGTATGGGGTTTGGTGCATGAGGGTGGGTGACACGTTGCAACTATGGAGTCTGACTGCTTCAAACAGAATTTTTCGGCGAAGAAAGCATGGATTGCATTCATCATTCATGGGAGAGTGCGATTCCACATGTTCATGTGTGTGTCCAAGTGAGCCCTCTTCCCAATTAGCGTTCGATGTCATCCACCAATGATGATAGCGCGCAACCCCTATGGCTCCAGCTACAGAAATCCAGAGTCCAATGTGTCTGTTCAAAAAGTTATAGTCTGATTATTTTGGCGGTAGCTGCTATCATTGATGCTCATTCCCAAAAAAGTGATTCAATCTCATCCCTTTCTTGAGATCTCAATGACTCTGTGTGCTTCATTTACCTCTGCAACTGTCTGGATTGCGTTTGTTGGAGTCTGATTGTTCGGGATGATGCCTGCTCTCGTCTGCCCACTGCTTGTTTTGGATTGCATTCCATGAGTTCATTTGTGTGAGTAACGTGTTCACTAGCACCAACTTGGCCCCATCTTTGTCATGGTTTCTATCTCACCTGCACAATCATTAGGATTCCTCATTTCATCATCCAAATGACTGAATTTGCAGACTATGAATCACTACATACAAGCAGTGGACCACTGAGGCAAATGTGTGGATACCACAGAATATGGGACAATCAGACACAAACGAACTCACGGAACGCAATCCAAAACAAGCAGTGGGCAGATGAGAGCAGGCACCATCCCGAACAATCAGACTCCAACAAACGCAATCCAGACAGTCACAGAGGTAAATGAAGCACACAGAGTCATTGAGATCTCAAGAAAGGGATGAGATTGAATCACTTTTTTGGGAATGAGCATCAATGATAGCAGCTACCACCAAAATAATCAGACTGTAACTTTTTGAACAGACACATTCCATCGCATGGTACTCACTTCACAGCCCAGGCATCTCGGGACTTTCCTTTACCCTTCTCATCGTCATTGGGGGGAGAGCAATCCATCTTGGAGTCTTTGCCCATAGAAAAGAATGGCCTCCTCTTAGTCCTTGGACCTTCCAACTCTTCTTCCACCAATCGCTTATTTGCCACACAGATGACTGGATTCTCGGTACGGAGCAATTGGGTGTGACCCACAATTTGCAGTCCGGTCCAATGCAATTGAAAGGATCAGATTTCCCCATGACCTGTGTTGCGTGCGTGAGAGCTGAGTCAAGGGTTAGTCCGCCCGATGCGTGAATACACCATGAATGAAACAATTTGTAAACGGACTCACAAATGCATTGATACCGTTCCTATCACTGCCATCCCTTCCACGAACGACAACTCGAGCTGGTCTCGGAGCACACTGGCACCCTCTTTGTCAAAAGCGGAGACATCAACAAGGAATTCCAATTCTTTGGCGAATGGATCACGCGACGAAAGTGCCCACCAGGGTGTCAGAACCGTGTGAAGGTTCGCCGAGGGTAGCCGTAGGTGACTGAGCGTTGCCCACTAGTGGTAAAGGCGTCCTACACCCGACCGAGCTTTAGTGAGGGATAAACCCCACCGATCTCGAGGCTGAGGCTACTTAGGCGAGTGAGCCAGGATTTCGGCTTCAACGACTCTGGGAGGAGCGTTGCGCCTCGTTCTCGACGCGGTCCCGATACTTCAGAAGGTCGGAGGTCTCATGGGGACAGAGGTAAGCTTTAGGGGGTAATTCTAGTTGATTTCGAACTACAGTGCAAGCATTAGTTACAAGCTGTATATAAGCGCTAATAGGAGGGCTAAAGCGGGAGCTCAGTCTCCGTTAATGAAGAACTGAATTACTACGGTTAATACTAACCTAAAGCGGGAGCTATAGTACAGAAGAGTACAGAGTAAGTAATGTAACAACTAACTAAAAACAATGATACTAACCTCAGTCTCCGTTAATGAAGAACTGAGGAGAAAAGGAAAGTAGACCCAAACAATTACCTATATACAATGCAGTCACGGTATCAATACAATGGAAACGAAAAACAAGATCATGTGAGTTTGGTTAGTGAGTCATGCGTCGTTGTAACTCCAACACGCCCACTCAACGCTTGTTGACTCATCCCAATCCCAAACTCGATCTGAGCTTCTCAAATTTTGACGCGGGTAATGGCTTTGTGAATATATCTGCCACTTGATTGGCAGTAGGGACATATTCCAGCCTCAAGGTACCAGTTTCGATTTTTTCGCGGATCCAATGGTGTCTGACATCAATGTGTTTTGTTCGCGCATGGAATATAGGATTTTCGGCAATGGCAAGCGCTGATTGATTATCGACGAAGATGGTGATGGGTTTTTGGGAGGATATGTCGGAGTTGTCGAGTAGATGATCCAGATAAGTAGCCTCTTTCCCTGCATGCGTGGTGGCCATATATTCGGCCTCGGTGCTTGATAGCGCTATCGTGGGTTGCTTCTTTGAAGACCACGCTACTGCGGCACCACCGAATATGAAGCAGTATCCAGATACTGACCTTCTTGTGCTAGGATCTCCAGCCCAATCCGCATCGGAAAATCCACACAAACCCTTGTCCAATCGCTTTCCATCAAACATCAGTGCAAGGTCGCGCGTCCTGTTTAGATATCGGTATACCCGCTTGATAGCGGACAGATGTTGTTGTCCAGGGGCCACAGCGTGTTGAGATAACAATCCAACGGCGAAGGATATATCAGGACGAGTGCTAATCGCTGCGTACATTAGCGATCCAAGCATAGATTGGTATAGCGTTTGGTCGATTTCTGGTGAGTTTAACTTTTCAAGTTTTAAATTTGCGGCCATTGGGGTACTCATTGGTCGTGCTTTTTCCAGCCTGAATCGCACGAGGATGTCGGTGACATATTGTCGCTGACTTATCGTAATAGTACGTGCAGCTCTATCGCGCGTGATTTCCATTGCTAAAAACCAATGGACTTCTCCTAGGTCCCGCATCTCGAATTTTCCGGTAACCTCGGCCTTCATGTTGGCCAACTCGGACTTCGGAGCAACGAGTAACAAATCGTCAACATAGACGAGAATGAAGCGTGAGTGATCCGCGTAATATAAACAAGGATCGTATCCAGATTGCTGATATCCAAGTGACTTTAGGTGCTTTCGGAGTGTGCGGTACCATTCTAGGCCGGCTTGCTTTAAGCCATACAGGGCCTTCTTCAGCAACCACACCTTTCCCGGTGTTGTCAGGACTCCGGCAGGAGGTTTGATGTAGATCTCCTCCTGGAGGTCACTATTCAGGTAAGCGGCGACAGCATCTAACTGGTGGATTTCGAGGTCGTGTCCAGCAGCATAGGTGAGGCATGCAAATAAAGTGTCGCGGCCAAGTGTGGGTGAGTAAGTCTGGAAGTAGTCCACTCCCAGAACCTCGGTATATCCTTTTGCCACCAGTCTAACTTTCTTTTTTACGATTTCTCCTTCAGCATTAGTTTTCTCGGCAAAAACCAATCGGCCATCGTGGACTCGAATGCCTTCGGGAACATCGGTTTCCTCGAATACCTTTCGGTTGACAAGGTTCTGATATTCTTCGGTTATCGCTGCCGTCCAGCCATCAGCATCATTCCTTTTCATCGCTTCGTGGTAACTCCGGGGAGAGGTTGCTGCGACATAGGCGAATTCTTCGCCATCGTGCATGATAGCAAAGTTGAGTGTTTCAACTTTCTCTTCATTTTCGCCCACTGAAGTTGTATTCTTTTCAGAATCGCCCACTGTTTCCGCATTCGGGATTGGTTGCATGGTTACTTGGGTGCGTCTAGAACCCAAATCCATCTTCGGATCTTCATCCGGTCTGATGGGTCGCTTTCCAGCATTTTTACGAGTTGTCCAACGGAGTGGTGGATTTGGAGTAGGATTTGGGTCTGGATTGGGATTTGGGTTCGGAGCAGTGTTGGGTTTAGGATTAAGGTCGGAATGTTGGTTCTCGATTGACGGGTTCTTGGGTACGTTAGGTGAGTTGATCTTTGTATCATTCTCGCCATTTCCGTCCTTGTCCCCCCTGAAACGGCATTCTGACTACTCGGACTTCCTTTAGATCTTCCAACTTCGTCTTCCACTCCCTCTTCCTCATCATCTACATTCACCCTCACCCTCTCATGTTCACCTCCCTCAATAAATTCAACGTCCCTCGACTCTATCATCCGGCGTTTAGTGCAGTCCCACAACAAGTATGCTCTTTTGTCTTCGGCAAACCCAACGTGAATACACTCGACTGTCCGGGCCCCAAGTTTCGTTTGAAACTTTTGGGGAATGTGTGCATAGGCAACACATCTGAATAGTCGCAGTGATTTGAGTGAAGGTTTTCGACCGAAATATGCCTTGAAGGGTGTCTGGTTCTGGTTTAGAGCTCGGGTTAATACCCGGTTCTTAATCCAGACAGCATGTCGTATGGCAATACCCCAGAAACTCGGAGGAAGTTGCTTGACTTTAAGCACTTCTTTTGCATCTTCTAGCATTGACCGTGCGCGGTCATTTAGAGTGCGGTTTACCCTTTCGGCAACTCCGTTCTCTTGCGGGGTGTAAGCGTTTGTGATTTCGTGGGTGATTCCCTCGGACTCAAGGTAAGTTTTGAAGTTGGCGGATGTGTATTCGCCACCTCCATCTGTGCGCAGGGTTTTAACCTTTCTTCCAGATTCCTTTTCAGCTTTCGCTTTCCAGGCTTTGAATAGATTTAGCGCTGAGTCCTTGGTCTTCGCAAGTCCGATATGGGTGTACCGGCTATAATCGTCGGTGAAAGTGATGAAATAATGGTGACCCTCGCGGGTTTCAGGAGTGATTGGGCCACATAAGTCGCTAAAGACT